CCACTAATGAAAAAACTTTTTTGAATTGTGGTTGTATTGAATACTTTTAGAGATAAAAGAAACTGGTCTGATTCTGGACTAACATGATGATTCTGCTTGTCTAAAGGATCTGTTTGGTATTCGGGTGTGTTCCAATGAACACACTGCTATTATGACTGAGTCGTCTCAGGAGATTAGAAAGGCCAGCTTGTTAAAGCTGAAGGTTAGGAGAGCACGTACCACTGAGAAGCTTAAAGCTGCAATAAAAAACATGGAAAACAAATAAGCTTAAAATATTTCTTTCATGACTCTTAACAACACTAACATAGTACAGCTAAAAATGGATTATGGAGGTGATAATAAAAGAAAAAACTAATAAAGTTGTTCTCTTGCGTTTGTCTCGGCCTCGGCCAATTACACGTTTTGGACCGAAAGCAACCATTGGATCGTCCGGTTGTCGGTCTGGCCGAACCACTGCATTTCTGCACTTCCCTGGGTCCTCCGTTCATTACTCATTTGTCTATTTAGCAACAGAACACCATGGTAAAGAAAGAAAGAAAGAAAGAAAGAAAGAAAGAAAGAAAGAAAGGAAACTATTTTTTCTATAGCGCCTCTCAAGATAAAAATCACAAGGTGCTTCACAAAAACTAAAAATTTAAAATATAAATAAGATTTTAAAAAATAATCAAAAACATGTTTGTGGATAAAGAAAGAAAGAAAGAAAGAAAGAAAGAAAGAGAGAGAGAGAATAGAAGAGAGGAAAAATTTGTTAATCCCGAGGAAGGCAGAATAGGTGTGGAGAACAGAATAAAGAGAGAGTGGTGATGAAGGTCATACAACAGCCAGCCTGAACAGCTGAGTTTTCAGCTGCTTTTTAATAGAGATCACTGAGTCCACTGATCTCAGGCTCAGGGGGAGAGAGCTCCAGAGTCTGGGGTACACAGCAGCAGATGATCTGTCATCTTTGGTCTTTAGCCTGGTGCGCTGCACAACCAGTAGGCTTTGATCACTGGACAGGTGTGAGAGGTTCTCCGCTCAATATTATCAGAGAAGGAGAAACAGCCAACTGCCACCACTTCAACTTTAGGACAAACTACCAGAGTCCCAAAAAGAAAAACGCCATTTGAAGTCACGGACAACAAAAGATGTTTGGACCTAGGAAACAGCGACTAGTGTTTAGCACTATCTTGTTTTCTCTAGCAATGCAGTTTTCAGGTTTCTTGGGATGCAGTCCTGAGAAAATACCCGAGAGGAGGGGTGAGTGTTCCATGACCGTGTTTATGTTCAAAACCTAGCTTAATCTGTAGATTCATTAGTGGGTCCGCGTGGCCAGAGGCAACCTACCTGGGCATGGACACAACAGGTCAATGAGTAATAAATTGGAAAGAGAGGTGCTATGAATGGGAACCAAAAAGCACAGAATAACGTTAACATAGATTTTAATCCTCCATCAAAAATCCTTTTGATTCTGCTCATGTGCACATGCTCAAGGTTATGCAGTTCTAAATGTTACTCCAAAGCAAAGTGACTTGAGGTCTTCATCCAACCTGCAGATGGTGATCATGTCCTCATTAGTCAACTGATCACAATAACAATTGCTGTATAGTCACTGACACTAGTCACTGCCTCGATGCAATTTGCTGGGTTCCTTATATAGGAAACTTTTTTCTGATTGGCTTAATGAACTGACCTGTATTGGAATGTTTATTATGTGAAGTGCCTTGAGACGACGCGTGACGTGATTTGGCGCTATATAAATAAACTTGAATTGAACTGAATAAAAGAAGAAAAATAGAAAGTTCTCCTGCTCCAAATCACCTATTTATTTTGTCCCTGCTCTGTCTTCTTAAACCAGTGAGTTGTGATGAATGGCTGCGCATACTGACCGAGAATCGGTTGGAGGGTTCTTCCTGTTAAAGGGGAGTTTTCCTCACCACTGTCGCTACATGCTTGCTTAGTATGAGGATCACTGTAGAGTCAGTAACTCAGTGCAATCTGCTGGGTTTCCTCACATAGCATTTAGCTAATTGGCATAATGAAATGAACTCAATGCACTGGTTCAGTTAGAATGTCTGCTTTATAAAGTGCTTTGAGATGTCTCCTGAATTTAACTGAAAAATCTCTGTATTTTCCAAGAAGTTCCTGTCTTTGTGGTTCCTGATTAATTATCCAAACGTGGGAATGAAAACTCATTAAAAGCTGTCCTTCTAACCTTTGCTAATTGTTTTTGTTATTGTCTGACAGGTGGCGATGATGGGATTGTTTCATGTTTGAACTGAAATGGCTGGTCTCCTCTTTGTCCTCTGTGGTGCTGATGAATGAAGGTGATCAGAGAGCTGAAAGCAAGTGATGCAAAGTGTCTGATATTTCAGCCTAAATGTGACGATAGAATAATGTGAAAGCCGAGAGAGTAACGAGGTGATGCCCAGGCTCCGGGCATCTTCATCTGTCTTTATTTGGAGCTTTCAAACAGGTAGCATCCTTCTCTTCTCGTGTCAGTTTGTTGCTTCCACTCGGGTGTCTGGTTCCAACCAGCCAGAAAAATAACTCAGATCAGATTCAGGCTTTGAGACCAGGCAGGGTTCATCTGGAGAAATAAATATGGAATCACAAGTAGAACCTTTAGAAAACCACAATGTTCAATATTTTTTACAAGTTCTCATATCTAATGATGTGAAAACAAATCCATGACTAATATACTGAAATAAAACAGGAAGGAGACATGAAATCTGACAACAGATCAAAACACTGATCTGGGACAGAAGTGAGCATCTCCCCTTGTCATTTAACCCAGGAGCTCGAGGGTCAGAGTTTAAGTGCAACCTGCCAAAATGATTTTTTCTCATTCCCAATGCTGTCAAAAAGCTGAATTTTTGAGGATGTTCATTGTTGAATTAAATAGATTGTGCATCACTGAGTTCTCCAGGAATGATCACACATTTAGAAACATTACAATGCATCCCTGATGAAATATCACATTCCTGATGATTCTCAAACCCCCGTTCCTCCTTTTTTTTTTTGTTTTTCTCTCGGTGTGAGAGACTCTGCAGAAACTCAGGCGTTGCTCTGGCTATTGACCTCGGAGCTCATCATTCACTAATATCAGCAAAGATCTGCAGAGAAAGTCCACGGCTGACAGAGACTTTCGTCCTGGCTGACTGCCTTTAATTAAATTAAGATTCACAGTGCCCCCCTTTCACCTCCTTTCACCAGCTGTCTGCAGAAGACAGAGCACAAACAGCCAGAGGCAGAAGAAGAAGCCGTTTAGCTCTGAAGAAGAAGCACAATGTGCTTGTCAGTCGGTTTAATCTATGGGAGTCTCTGCCCTCGCTCTCCCCACCAGAATGGCGATCTGCTGATTACCAGCCATTGGGAGGATCAATACATTCTTCAATGGGGAACAGGGGGTGTTCATTATGCATGCAAAGACGTCACAAAGAAGACATCTGAGAACAAATGCATGTATTGATCTCCGAGCCAAGTCTGTGCTTGGGAGGTTTTTTCTGTTTGTGACATTTGAGCTGGACAAAATCACTCCACACACTCCCATCTAAAGCTAGCCTAACCATGTGCCACTCATTTGTTTTTCACTGGCAACATAAACAGTCACAGGTATTGATTTCAAATCAGCTTTGAAGTCTAAAACAAATGCCTCTCTAAGCCACGGCCTCCCAGCTTCAGATCTTTGTCACGCGTGCTGATGCAGGTTTCTGGTCTCTAATGACCGATAAACATTTTACAGGTCCATCACAATAAATTATAATAATATTGACAGTTTATTGATGCCAGTATTTGAGTTTAAATTAATGAAACTCATATTTTATATAGATTTATTACACAGAATTATATACTTCAGTTTTAATTTGGATGAACTAACTTTTCAGCAGATAATTAAACTATTACAATAAATCAATAAAGCCGGACTTCTAACACATAAAGTATGTCCATATATATGCACTCAGTCCTTGGTTACTGTCTCCATGCATGGTGGGAAGATGACAACAGCTGTGGTTCTTGAGGTGTTTGTGGAGGCCAGTTGGCTTTAGCCTTCAGGTTTTCCTCTTGACCCAAACACACGGATGCTCGACTACGGAGGCGTAGGTTGGAAGAGTTGAAGTATCACCTCCAGTCTGGTCTAACTGAATGCCTCTTAAATTCTTCCTTCTGCTTTTGATCCTTTTTCTACAAAATATTTATTTGGGACTTAAGATTTTTCATCAGTTGTCGGCCGTGTGTTGACTCAATCATGCAGAAACAAGCTGGCATTTCTTTCAATTCAGTTTTATTTTTTTCAGGCTCCTTGTTTACTTTTATGATTTTTAATCTTTATTTTTCTTCTTTTCCTCCAATTTTTATATAACCTTTATCTTTATCTTCATTTTTGTTGTTCTTGTGAAGTGCCTTGTGATATATCAGAATGCTTTCTTCTTCTTACTTCCTGAGTCATACCAGCAAAAATGAGCATTTACTTATGGCTGTTATTATTTCATACCTCCTCCAGTCACACACACGTTGTCACATTAGGAGTTGTTTTTTTTATCTGTGGTGGAGAACCCACACATGCATGCAAAGAACATGCAACCATTGCACAGAAACACCACAACCAGGCGTTGAACCTGCAACCTTCATGCTCAAAAGCAACAGTGCGGCCAATTGCATCATCATGCAACCCTACCTGGAAAAGCATTTTTGAATTCCTTCCAGTAGCGCCCACGTCTGGCCTGCAACTCTTCCGCACTCACGAGAAATTGTAATAAGCATTTAATGATAATAATAATTAAAAAAAAAACTTTTCCGCATCACGAATGATCGCTCTGTCAGTTTTTACACCAGAGCAAAATGATGTTATTTACTCTACTTGCATTTATGCACGTTTGCATGAGCATGAAGTGATCCAGATCTCCTGTTTATTATATATTTATGATTATAAACTTTAAAATGTTGACAGGTGTTCAGACATCACAGGGCTGGATGCTGCCACCTTGTGGAGCATCACACAAACGACACGCTGCACACACTGACACTTTTCATGCACTTCTTTAATATATCAGTTTCTCATATTCACAACAAATACATTAAGCTTTCTCCTTATGATACAGCCATAAATATTTTTACACTAAACCAGTTCTGTCATCAAAACGCCTTTATTTTAAGCATCGTGGAATTTGTTACATTTGTAGTCTCCATGCCTCCGAGCAAGCTGACAAGATTTTATTTGTACAACTATTTACAGGTGAACAAAGAAAAATTAAGTCAAAAGGAACCATCGGGTTTAAGGTGCAGGCAAGGACGGGGGTTTGATCCTTGAAAACAAACACAAGGATGGACAGGATGGGATCGGAGGAGCGTGAAGCCTAAACAGTTACTCTCAGAAAATCAAAAGTTTTTAGAGAAATTATATCCAACACTCTGAAAGTCATTACCAGCTTCCTCTGTGAGCCGAAAACTGAGCCCAGTTCTGAAGACAACGGTCAACATCTGCATTTAAAGTGAGTCTGTCTGGATCCTGACCCAGCAAGCAGGAAATCAGAATTTTAGGGTCTTCATCAGCAGACGCTGTTAAATAATGAAGACTGGAGCCTCTTTGGGACTCTGGACCAGAACAAATGGTACTGTTTATTCTTTGTATCAGACAGAGCACAGCAACGCCACATCCAGTGTGGGGAAAAGAATCAACGAGGATAAATATTGGTCAGATTTGAGGTCACAGCAGATGGATTTCTGTAATACTTAGTATCAGTTCAGCACCTTCTGCTCTCCTCAAAGCAGCTTAGTTCCTCACAGAGTCTAAATCTTCATCTAAAGTTTCCCTGATTCAGATGTGGCATGACAGAGTCACAGAGAAAGAAGCGTTTTTAATTAAGGCTGGTTCTGGATCAGCACAGGGCAGGAATCCGGGTTAGAGCCCAACCTGCACGTGGAACCTTCAGGAGTTCCACTGAGATCCTCGGGTCCCTTCGCGCCGAGTCTACCTCAGAGCAGACCGGTCCGAGTGTGAAACGACACCTTTCCTGATTTTAGTTCACTGGCCTAAGACTCGCATCGCTAGATGCAATCATCCACGAGACTCGCCAAAGGGAACAACCATGTTCAACAAGTTTGTCTGGTTTCTTAGACACCAAGTAATTGAATAGTTAAATAAAGACAGGCCAGACCTTCATTATTGTCTTCATTCTCAGAATGAAGCAGCTGATCTGAAACATTTCCTACACACCTGTGTGTGTTTTCCATTTTAATTTAAAACTCTTGCACATTAAAAGTTAAAGGGTTGTTGTTGCAGCTATGAGTGAAGCCTCCATCATGACGAGGCTCTATTTGGGTCTGGAAGGTGACAGAAATCTAACAGTTTAGACCGAAGCTGATGCTAGAAGCAAGTCCTAATGAATGAATGAATGAATGGACAAGTGATTTCCAGGTCTATGCTGTTAGCCATTTGTTAGGGCTGAATCCAGGTCCTTTACCCTACCTGCACCAGTTGGTTTGTGTTCATATGGGTTAGTAGTTAGAACCCCTCTATGAAATAGACCACCCCTTCATGAACACACCAACAACTGTCTCATGGTCTTTGAATTAGAACAGAGACAACATCTGCCAAGGGACTACTGACGTAGTTAGCAACAGTCACATCAGCAGGCGGGAACCCGGGCCCTCGCTGGCATGTTGGTGACACAAAATTAGAAGAAAAGTTTGTTTCTCACTGAATCGGGTTTACAGCTGATCAGGTCAAAAGGAGTAATGATGCAACGTAGCGCTTTAACTTTGTCTCGATGTGTCATTCTCAGTTCGACTCCTCCGAAAGTCATCTCACGTTCCTCCACTTTCGGACTCCTAGAACCAAGACGGCCCACAAAGACACGGAGTCGGTTTTGCAGCTCTCATTTTAGAATATTTTTAAAACTTTTAGGGACATTAGCCAGGGATCCTAAACTCACCCAGTCTGTATTTTGATGCAAGATGTTTGGTGTAAATCTTTGAAAAGAATGCATAAAATTAACTAAAGGTGAAAAACTAATTATTTCACATCATTTATTAGACATGAAAGGAAACAAACGGATGGTTTATCAGCTTCTTGAAGAAGCAGGTGTGGGAGCAGAGGTAACACTGGTCAGCATCCAGAGACCATCGCCCATCTCAGTGTTAATATTGTGAGTGTTATATCTAACTTTAGGTCCTTAATTGTTTTAATAGTTCCCGCCTGGCTTCGCAGTAAAAAATAAATAAAATAAAAACTAAAAAAATTTCTATGATGAAAAAAAAAACCTTCAAATTGAACTTGGAATTTGACTTGATTCTGACTAAACCTAAAAGTCCATTATTTGGTTCTGTAACAGCTGCTGTGATGCATTTCTCCTACAGAGATTTAAAACATTAAAATAAAACCAAACAGAACATTTGAAAGAAACAGTTAAGGTCCTTTGTTGGAGCTAGCCGATAAAGCCACAACATCCAATCAGATCGCTCCATCTGGGTCACTTCATCACTGAGCTCTGATCTCAGCTGGTCTTCATCACTTTACACCCATGACCAGTGGGGTCCTTTGGTCAGTAACAGCAGAAGTTCTGGTAACAAACCCAGCCCGTGTAGCTTGTGTAAAAGTCACGTTTGTTTAGGAGATCCGTCTGATGTGGTGAACCTCCTCGGTAACCAGGAGGCTGTTAGTGTAGAAGAACATGATGGGTGGTTAGAGGTATCCACCGGTCCACTATCGTCCAGAGCCATCACAGCAGGATGGGTACAGACGCAACCGGATCACCAACCAAACAAATAAAAATCACTTTGATCCTTCTCAACAAAGTGCAAGTACATGAGTCACTAAAACGAGTGTCAACAGAAAGAGTTTCCAATAAAGTACAAAATAAAACCAAATTATCACATAAATACAGATCTGCAGGCCTGCCTGTAGAAAAGAAGGCAAACAGTATGAAGACTAGCTGGTCCATTCAGCAGGTAACAGAGTGGTCCAGTAGGGTTCTGAACTAAACGGGCCCAACATCCACAGAAACAAACGGGAAGCTAAGGAAAAACTGTGGAACAACAGGGAAGCTCAGAATCTCCCACAGACACACTGCACACAAACTGTAGCTTAATGTGTCCAAAACGAAGAAATAAACTGCTCTCCGCTATCAAAACCAAAATAACCTGTCCTCTAAACTCTCCAAAACAACAGCAGAATGAGAGCTTTTAATGCATTTAGATAAAACTACCTGAATCCTCTCAGAAAACACAACTCCAAACACAAATCTCCAACAGCAAACCTACCAAAAGATCAACTTCTGGAATAGTCTGGGATCCATTAATCAGGCCTGAGTCTGGGATCCTTTCATCAGGCTTGAGTAGGAACACCACTGTGATTCTTTTAATGCTGGAGACAAAACAAACCAACAGACCTTCATAGAACCGAGTTCAAAGAGCCCAAACGAAGGTGTGAGCAGAAAGAAAACCTTCCTCAAAACGGGTCGTCAGAACACACTCGGGACAAAAAGATGACAAAAGTCTGAAAGGTGAGAAACAAAAACTAAACAAAATAATCCTTCAAGTCTTTGTCCTTCAGGAGGAAGTCCTGCTGAGTGACCTTCAGCTCATCTCAGGAGACCTCTTCCACAGGCCCGGTTCTGGCATTGCTCAAAGTGCAGTTCAGTGGCCCGGTTCAGAACCCAGCCTCTGGTTTTCCCTTCAGTGGATGGTCCAGTCCTTGAGATTCCCTCTCCACGCCGTTTTCATGCACATCCTTTTGTGTATTTTGTGTTTTTTGGTCCCGTTTCTGGTTCTGTTTTGGGTGTTGTGGTCATCGTTCTAGAGGACCGGACCTGATGAGGTGATGTTTTCTTCAGGGTGGCGAGGGAAGAAAACGACACACTCTTTCCCACCTTGTGGGAGTTCTTACCAGTAAAAATGTATTCCATGTTTGGGAAGTGAAGGGTCAGACGGGTTTGAGTTACTTAAACGCAGAAAATTCTCCTGGAAAAAGACAAAGAGGCAGAATGAGTGTCGGTTCTGAACAGCAGCATCAGCCTGTTCAGGTCGTGTTAGAAACATTCAGAGGAACCATCTAACACCTGAGCTTGAGCTTTATCAGGAGGTCCGAGGATTTGATTATTTTATAAATAAGGACTGGAGGAACTGGAGGGTAATACCGTTTTCCTAAACCACACAGTAAAAGTGGGTGATTACAACAGCAAAGGTGGCTTCTCTGGAGATATGAGAGGATTGCTATAGCAACCAGAGTCATGGTCACTCAGGCAGTTCACACACATCCTGTCAGACCCAGTCTCTGATTAGATCTTACCGTAGCCTCCAGCCTGGATGGGGGTTTTAGGTGAGGCGCAGGCATACAAACTGAAGTCCTCTGTCTGGAACCCGGCACGATTTAATGAAGGCTCCGAGGCGCTGCGGTGGATTTTAGGTAAAGAGCGAGCCAGCAGCTCAATGGAGGCCAAGATCTATGGAGATGATTGGACCAGACAAGAGTTAGACCTCAACTCCAACACCAAAACCAGACGAGAGTCACAGCTCCAGTTAGACTACTGGTATCAGACCTCTGTCGCCACCTGGTGGTAAAGCACCAGGAACTCTTACCTTGACCTCACTATACTCTCACGTGATTCTGGAGGAGTTCTGGTCCACTTTTCTTTCCAACATTGCTTCATTTCACTGAGGTTTGCAGACATTCAGCTCTCCGAAGGTCCAAATTATCTGGAGTTTGACTGGACCTTCGCAGCACATTGTTTCTGGTGTAGATCTGCTGCTGTGTTTGTATGATGGCTATGCTTTGTGACCTGGTTAAGTCCAAGTTCCAGCTGTCGGACAGACGTTCTCTCGTTAGACTCTGGAACACTGTGGGAGCTCATAGTGGACTCAGTGAAACCTGTGGCTGCAGAACCGGCCCAAACCATCAACCCTCCACCACTGTGCTGACAGCTGGGATCAGCTGTTTGGGCTGCTGTGCATTATGGGTAAACATCTCTATTTTGATCCAATTGTTCCAGAAGGACCAACCTAAGCTGAGGTGTCATGACCTTTAACCTGCTGACTGAGGCCTGTAGGGTCCGACGTTCAGCTCTTGCCATTTTGCCCAATGTTAATGAACAGTTTCAGCCTTGATGTCTCACCTGGGGGAAGAGAGGTCGCTCTTCTCGTTTCTTCTTCAGACAATCAGCCATCAGTCTCTTCATGGCCTTTGGACAGTTGCTGCGCACCTTGCTGAGGTCAGGAGATAGGTAACCTCGCCCCACCATGAATATAATCTGACAGAAAGGAAGGTTTGTGTCTCGGGTTAATGACGTCTGACAGGTGGCTTTGCACTGCGAATCACTCTGAGCCTAATAGGTCACCATTACATCACGTGATGTCAGATGGACCACAAAAGGTAAAGGCTTACCTGATCTCTGTTATTGATGTTAGAGTAGGGCAGAGCTCCTGACATCAGCTCGTAAAGAACAATCCCAAAAGCGTAGACATCTGACTGGAAGCTGTAGGGATTCTTGTCTTGCAACCGGATCACCTCTGGAGCCTGATGGACGCATGCGCACACACACAAACACAAACGCACGCACACGATTAAGACTTCTCTAAACAGAGCCCTCTGACCTGCTGAACTGTAAGAGCTTAATGGGCCCCAGAAGAGTCGGCTCTACAGCATAAGCAGGTCAGTTTTTGCCAAATCAAAGATATGAGATCACACGGGTTGTTTTTCAACAGTACTTACGTAATCGTCTAAATTTGTTACGATACCTTTTCAAGGATGGGCCAAGTACTGTTCCGATGCAAAGTACGCATCATGGCAAGTACTCTCAATAGCCCTTTTTACAGGACAAGCCATGTCCGCCACGGTGCGTCTTATGAACGCGCCCTGGCTGCATGGTGATGCGGGAATTTTGCGGCATTCAAGCCACCACGCTTGGTAGTAACATTAACGCGACGCTGGACTTGTGAATGCATTTTGCGCCTTGGCGCAACAGAGGGAGGTGTCATGACCAAGTGGGGAGTTACTGCCGAGCTCCGGAAGGGAAATGTATTAAAAATAAAAGTAAACACGAGCCATAAGTTTTGCTTTTGTAATCCGAATCAGCTGAGATGGCAAACTGTAACAATACAGCGCTCCTAGAGCTTCTCTCCGTTATAGCTAGAGCTCAGATCACCAGAGACTGCACGGGGATCGTGGAGGATACACACTTTTAGGAGCGGCTTGTTAAAAAAACTTAACGGCGCGGCTTCAATCGCAATAAAAGGCAAGTTATGTCTAATATACACAGAAGTCTGCAGCAGCACATAGACCACCCCATACCCCCTTTATACCGCCATCCCCTAATCTTTTGTAAAAAGGACACGATTGAGCAACATGACCATCACAGCCTGGGCACTTATGAACGACCTAAGGCTCTCTGATGCCACCACGCTGTTGCAGCATTGTTTTCTAAAACAGGCTATAGTTCCCAGATGTGTTCTTGCCCTGTCCACTGCACTGAGGGTTAATCAATGCTTTCTTCTGTGGACTTGGGCCAGAAAGGTATCCCATAATGCACTGCATTGCAAACTGTTATACCCCGAATGGATAAAGGCAGAAGAGAAAGCTCATAAGTCTATTGTTTTTACACCAAAAACACAAAAGATTTAGTCTAAATAAATGAAAAAGAAATGGTCTGTTACTGTAGATAATGGTGTGTAACCTGTAAAAGTTGCTGTTTTATTTTTCACACTCTTCACAATCCCTCAAAACGTTAATTAGCTACACCACTATCAAAATAAAAGCAGTGTTGCCTTAAATAGCTGTTTTGATCAAAAATAAGTTTTTCTTTAACATCGGAAAATGATTGTATTTTATCAATTTAGATTTAAAAAAAATGAACCAAATCTATGACAAATGAAGTGTATTCATTGTTGTTTTGGTATTTAAGGGATAAACTAGACTTTTATTTTGTATTTCAGATCCTTTTTTTTTAATAGCATGAAGCAATGCTTGTTGCCTTGATGTAATGGAGTACGATTCTGTTCCAAATGCAATACTTGTTCTCTTGTACGGACTTTCTGCTGTACTTGCCAAGAATATACTTGAAAAGAATACAAGAATGCACTAACATAATTGGGTATTGAGAAACGGCCATAGTTTCTTTTAGAACAAGTATGAGGTACTCGAAGCTACAAGAGTGTGTCTCAGCAGAAGTACAAATGGACCTGGAGCCAAATAAACACTGACCATCCAAAGTATTGATCCAGACAGTTGTTCAAACTGGTGGGAGCCACTCCAGCGAGACTTGACTGTTGCCAGTCCAAAGTCACCAATCTTTACCGTCAGATCCTCATGGAGGAAAATATCTGGGAGAGGAGGTGAAGGAAAATCTCTCCTGCTGCTGAAGCAGTTAATGCACAACTCATGCACACTGGAATACGTTTGTTTTCACCACTGCTGTGTCAACCCAGCTGTGAACAGCAGCTGATGGTTGGTCTGAGGCACGTTCCATAAGGATACTGTTGCTCTTCAGGTCTCTATGGATGATTGATTTGGCATGCAGGTAACTGAGGACAAACAAGAGAAAGGAAGTTAGACAAGAACAGCTGGTGTGTGTGTGTGTGTGTGTGTGTGTGTGGGAACTCACTCCATGCCCTGAGCGGTCTGCCGTGCGATGTCAATCAGCTTGATCATCTCAAACTTGGTCTCAATGATGTGCAGGTGGTGGTAAAGACTGGAGCCTTCACACCACTGGGTCACAATGGCCAGCTGGGGCTTGGTGGTGTAGCCCATAAACAGCAGGATATTGACGTGACGTGTTTTCCTGGTGAAAACACACATCCCTTAGTTCGACTGCAGCTGATTCAATATAACAGAGTAAACACTAGTAAAAATAAAATAAAAGTTAGGACTTATAGTGAATACAAATGAAAAATTAACTACAGGGACTTGTTTTATCTCAGAAGATCGAGGTTTTTATTTTCCCACTTTGAGTCGCCAAAAGGTCTAACCCAGAGTAGCAGGCACTGAGAACCCCAGTGATGCGACCAAAATCAACATGAAGGGTAACTACAGACTGGAATTCACTCTGTGCCACATGGAGATGACATCATTCCTGCACTGAGTGTGTGTGTGTGTGTGACTGACTAAACTGTGTGGACAACACCATCTCCTCCAGAACAGTGAGGTGCTACCCCTCATAAAAAACACACCAAGAAAACCAGCTTGGAATCAAGATCCAGTAGAACAAAGTAAGAGGTGTGTGTTAAAGGATAAAGCATACTGGCTTCAAGCAGAAAAAGTTCATGAAAGTTCTCTAGAGATCATTAACTCCAGGAGCATATGCATCTAGCTCATTGTGGAGTTGAAGACATCCTCACACACCTGCCTCACCAAACCCTCAGTGAAACGGGACAAACCAGGCAGGTTCTCTCTAAAATGTAAGATACTCCAGAAGACACAGGTGGACGCCTCCACAAGCTCCTGGACTAACAACTACATGTGAAACAGGCTGAAAGGTTTTGTGCCTCACGTTAGAGACCAAGTCCAGAAAACCTGTGGACCAGTTTGTGGCATGAAGGAAAAATCTCTCCTCTTGAATGTGAACAAGCACAAACGAAGTGACTGTGGCTATTAGAAGAACCAGGAACGTGTCAAACTCTTGTTCCACCACAGGAGAAGAAACGGAGGTGGTGGAGAAATAAACACTTCAGCGTTGACCTGGACAGCAGACTGGACCAGAGACACAACAGTGAGGTTGTAGACAAGAAAGGACAGAGTACACTGGACTCTTAGAGGAAACTCTAATCTGCCATGTGCAAGATGTTACACATGCTCTGTTCTGTGATGGAGCGTGAAATCTGAGCTGCAGTCATCTGTTGGGGGCGCAGCATCAAGCCAGTGTGGTTTTAAAAAGCTGGTTCTGGTCTGAAGACGGATCTGGAGCCTCTAGGGCTGGTTGGACAAATTAGGACGATTCAGGAAATAAAGAAACGCAATGGAGAACCCTGATCATCATCTTCATAAGACTCAACAACACTATTCAGTCATGGGTTCCGTCGGATTTACAACACAACCTGCTACACAGAAGATCCTCCCTGCTCACAGCTAGAACCAGACCTGTCCTAGGCCCAGCCCCCTAACCAATGAATTCTGGGATAGATGCTGGTCCAGCTCTACTAACTTTGTGCTGTATTCATGTTAAATCTGTGATCTCAGGCTTGTGACGGAGGACGAGGGTGAAACGGATACCTGAGGACTCCCACTTCATTCTTGAAAGCCTGAAGCTGTTGTGGTGTGGGAGCAGTGACGTTCAGCATCTTCACGGCCACATCACCTGGGAGCAGAAAGGACACATCAGTCAGCTGTTTGGTGTTGGCGTCTTTAGAGTCCAGCTCAGACTCAAATAAGCTCTCAGAGTCTGAAAAGAAAGCGATCGTACCGTGCCACTTCCCTTTGAACACAGTTCCAAAGGACCCCGAGCCTATCCTCTGACCCAGGGTGATTTGGCCCTCAGGGATTTCCCAGTCATCACTGGAGTCTCTTCTCCCCAGTGTTTTCTGTTTCACAGGACAGGAAGTCAGCACCAGCACACCAGATGCTGCAGCACAGCTCAGAGTCTCCGATGGTCTCACCATTTTATTGCGGTCTTCGGACGATGAGGATGACTTGCGCTCCCTCTGCTGACACGGAGACTTCTGCGGGACTTTGACGTTGGTCAGGGAGCCGGGTAGAGAGGCGGGGGGTGTGGCCGACAGCCCTGTGGTGGATCCTGGAAAGGAGGACCAACAGTAAGAGGAAAGCTGGACACACAGATCAAATTAAATCAAGAGAGGACAGGAAAAATGGAGGACTGGGTGAAGACAGGAAGTGAAGCACTTGCATCACATGCAAAAGGGAGAGGGTGGGAAGCCTGTAGGCAGGTAATGGTTTCACAGAATGACCTATTCTGATCCTAGAGACAGTGGACCAACGAGACAAACTGAGTCCTAGCACAGGTTTTATTTTCAGCTTATTAATTACATCTCAGCATGAATCCATCCAATCAGGATACAACTAGTCAACATAATAATCCAATTTTAAAACGACTTCAATCAATTTACGATTTTACCGAATCCAATTAAAAACTTCTCACATCAGTCGGAGATGAGCTGCTTAGGTTTATTACATGAGATCTCCTCATTCAGTCACCTTCCTGAGGACTCACCGGCTGACTGGATCACAAGAACACAGTTAAGTTCTACTGATCAGGACTAAATAAACAGATCTGATCCTCACCAGGCTCTGAAGGGTTCTAATCTAAACCAACAGACAACATGGAAGAACTGAGGCCACCTGATGGTCCGGCAGAACTGCCTTCAGCACCAGGAACTAAGTGAATAATCTCTCTCTGCAGAATAACGGACTCGGAGTAGTTTGGAAATGACCTTCGACTCTCCTACATGGGTGGGCAGTAACCGTGGCTTCTAGATGTCTTTCCTTCTTGTGTTAACACACACACACATCTGTATGCTCCGGAGGAGCAAACTGACTAAACATCTGCTGATTATCAGTTAATGATTATTATCAGTTCATCAATAATCTGATCAGATGGGCTCAGTTTTACATGTTGTCTTTGTTTATATTTAATTAATAACGACTTGGTGGAAACTGTTGGGTGGTTTTCTACACTTCAGGTTAGATTAGAACCCAGCACTTTAAATATATGTAGTGTCTATTCTGATGAAGAGAGGGAGGAAACACAGCGGAATAGACATGGTTGGTGTGTGTGTGTGTGTGTGTGTGTGTGTGTGTGTGTGTGTGTGTGTGTGTGTGTGTGTGTGTGTGGAGTCACTACTCCCTATGTGGTTCAGCTGGTTTCACATTTAAGACATAGCTGACTTTTTGATGAGAACAATTTAAGCGTTTCTAATAAACAAAAGCTTTTGTGTCCAAACTGATATCAAAGGTAAAAGCTGAACGATCACCTTCATAGAGCACTGACTCCACCAGAGGTCATGTGAGGTCATGGGTGAAGGACACAGGAACACAAAGAGGCCTAACTACCTCGGAAAAGGGGCTCAGGTTCAAAGTCAAACACTATTTCATTGGGGTATAGGAGGGGGCTTGAGGTCCGTGTTCGGTTCTTCCTCAAGCAGCAGGCGGGATGGGTCAGGGGGGCTGCAAGGGTAAAGACAGACAAACAGACCATCACTGCTACTCCCCCTGTCCCCCAGAATCCTCAGCTACAGCTCTGCTACCTGCAGACTTCTAAATGTTCAGTTTAATGTTTACACAGATCAGTGATAATGTCTCCTAGTACTGAGTTACTCCAGCTTTAGACACAAAACCGACTCACAGAGGCAGGAGCCTTATGGTACCAAACAGTCGCCTGCTGATCTTTGTAAACCAGAAGGCGGTGAGGAGCTCTAGTCCCACAGGTGCTCATTTGGGATTTATCACTAAACCAAGGTGGAACGTTCCCTCTAGATTGGGAAAGTCTCTGAATCCTGCAGGAGTTCTAGAATCTTGATGCCTTGTGACTGAGTGGTGGTAGGATGGAGGATAGATGCACTGATGGATCGAGACTTTACTTGCAGCAGAGGGCGTGGATCCGGATGATCAGAGTGAAGAAGAAGCAGAGCTGAAAGGTGTAGCTCTTGATTTAGTGATCTACCCAAACCCTCGTCTGTGGTCGTGAGATCTGGATCAGGAATTAAGGAATGAGATCCTGGATCCAAGGGCTGAAATGGTGTTTGTAGCATGGCCAGGCTTCGAGATAAAGAGAGGAGCCCGATCTGATAAAAATGAGGATGTGGTTCTGACCAAGATGACTGGGTCGACCATCTGGGGGGAGGGGTTATGTCTTCTCTCTGGTCGAGGAACATTGAGGGGTGGTCTAGGAGCTGGAGAATGCGAGTTTCCCTCCTGTACTTGGCATCTCCATGGCTTGAACGTGGATAAGTGGTAACGAGTGAGAGGACACAAATTGAAGGACATGTCAACACTTTAGACTGGGACTGTTTAGCAAAAGAAGCCCTTGGTCAGCAACAACCTTCAGGTAGGAGCTACGTCTCAAAGTAACGTCCAAACTAGTGAAAGAAGGACGTCTAGTCCAGCCTTCCTTCCTCCTATTAGGCATCTTAGCCCTTGCTGAAATGTGACTGACATCCTAAAAGGCCCTCTGTCCTTTGTGGGCTGATCAGATTTTGGGTGGAGGCAAATCCAAGTCCAAACACTAGTAGAACTAGTGAGCCAAATTAGAATTTCCAGTGTGAAATCGTGTCTAAGGATGTTGGACTAATACTTGGCCCCTCTATAAATACTGTGGCCCCATCATGGCCTCAAACTCAGAAGAAAATCCTACATTTGCAACTGACTTTGAAGTCAGATAAGCTCCACCCACAATCAGGACCAGGTTTTACCATCAAGTTATAACTGATCTGTGTACAGTTTTGTTGTGGTTTAGAAACCCTGACATCATCAGTGGTCTTAGACACCAGTCGGTGCAAGAGAAAGCACAAGTGACTTCACTTCTCAGGCCTGAGCTGCTTACACAGATATGTCTAAAAGACCAGGAGGACACAGATGGAGGATGGAGGGGGGATGGGGGTGCACAGATGAATCAAAAATGGTTTGTTCTTTTAAGTCCTTACCTCCATCAGACCTCTGCAAGCCCTGATCTCGAATAAGGTCCTTAAAAGGAAGAAAGAAAGAAAATGTTAACGAGTGTCAGAAATGTGAGTTGTGCTGATGGTCCGCTGAGTCAAACAGGAAGCCTGAATCAGGGTGATTTTCCGACCTGTGGTCTGTACGACATATCTACATGTCACCATGTGTTTTATGACCAGTTAGGTTTTAACCAAAGAGGAGCTGCTCAGAATGAACTTGTTGTACAAACTGAGCCCCTTCAGAGGACCTGACTTATTAGTTACCTGGGGTCTCATTTATCAAACATTGTGTAGAATCCTTACTAAAACCGTACTTAAGCTCAGCAAAAAAAAAGTACTTACGCCAAGTAGGTTTGTGATCTATCAAACATGGAGTACGCACAGCTGCACGCAATCTCCACTTCATAAATCAGAAACTATCTAGAAAGTTTCTCAGCTGCTTTTTAGTCACATCCCGCCCTCACCACGCCCACTTACTGCCATAAATAGTCAATGCAAAGTGCCTTGTGGACCTCATTTATATACATAAGCCGGCTGTTGCAGCGCTCCGCCAATGACATGGCGACCGTAGATCAAGGCAGATCAAGGAAGCACTATTTCACAAGCAGAAGTTGAGGTACCTGTGGGTGAGGTGGAGACATGAAAGGAAGAGCTTTTGCAAAATAAATAAGAGAAAATCCACATAGTGGCACATCGTTGCTGAAGCCGTCAATGCTGAGTTCTTCAGAGAGATCTGTGGCAGATATATAAACAATGGTCCAATCGGGATTCGATCCCCAGACCCCTGGGTGAAAGTCACGCGCGCTAACCAGTCAGCCAAACAGAGATCTCCCTTGTCTAAGTAGCCAGGGCACATGATCAATCGGGTCACAGTGACAGGACACTCACTGTCACATACGCATGACATTCTGTCTCAATCTGTCCCCCTGCTGATATTCTGCATTCAGTATTCTGCACTTCAGGCTGTATGTGTGTGTGTGTGTTGTGTGTGTGCATGTGGGGGGTCTTGTTCTGTGTGAAAATGAAGCAGTACAAGTGATAATGCTGCTGAAATTCATAATTTTATCCTTCTCAGCAGCAGCACTGCAGGTGCTCTCCAGGTCCAAAATGTGTGTAAGCCAGGTCCTTAGTCAACTTAAAGTTGCGCACATTTTCCCGCTAAGTTTTCTTTCATAAATCCCAAAGTTTGCGTGGAAAGTTGCGTACGCGGTTTTCCAACCCCGTTTTGTGTGTAAGCAAGCTTGATAAATGAGACCTCTGCTTGTTTTTTGGTTTGGATCTACAGATAAAGGTTTATTGAGTCCACCAGGACTCCATAATCTGGATACGTTCACAAACAAGATAACTGGATTTTTTTTCTTCATGAAGATGTTTGCTTCTCATTCAAGGTATCAAGCTTTGAAACTGTAGATCATAAATGAGAGCTAGTCTGACGCCAACAATACTGGAAAGAGGAGTAACTTATAAACCAGCTAAAATCAACTAGAGCTAGACACTCCGCACTTTTCTGTTTAAACGCTCTTTGGATGAGAAGTGAAATGTCTTCAAGGAGATTAAGTGCAGTTGGTTTGTTTCTGACCCCACGGAAGATCTGGACAGCAGACATGCCTCTGCAGTGTTACTAAAATCTGTTTAATAATGATTTGGGGTGTGCTGAGATCCCATTGGAACAGAACCTGAACACACACTGATGTCCCGCCAGGACGAGCAGACTCACATCAATGTTGACAGGCTCAATTGTGTTGATATGGACGTTGGGGGCAGAGGACGAACGGTCCCGCTGGCCAAACTGGTTGCGGTGGTCCTCCTCGTTGGGCCTGAAACTAGCTGGAATGGGGATGGACTTGGACGGGGACACAGTGGTATGGCACATAGACCTGAAGAGATCAAATAAGAGAGATATCGTCTGGAATAGCAAATTAAAGCTGATCATTTTTAACACATTTATGTAAAAATAAACATCAGCTACTGGCTGCTAATGCTTTATGAACATTAGGAGGAGGAGGAGGATTCCTCATGGAGAAATATGAAGAAGACAACTCACCCAATAGAGTCAGATGGAGGGAGGGACGGACAGACCTCAGACACGGGGGTGGTTCCTTCTGAGGACACCTCCTCCTGGCTGAACGGGTGATGCTCAAAGAACTTTGAGACAAGCAACAAGCTACAGAACAGAAAACATTAAAAGGTACTATTCAAGAATGATAAAAACCCAAGTCAGAGCTGGAGGCATGATCCTACTGCAGGGGTAACACAGCATGTGTTCAATTCTGCACTCAGAAGCTCCAGTTGCCCTGAAACAGTACACTCTTAAATACAGGTGATCTCTGCACACACATCTGGTTTGGTGCATGATTAAAAATGGAATGAACGCATCAAAACCTGCACTCGCTGTAGGTAAATATTCTTATAATTTAGATGGACAAAAATATAAACGTGTTTCAGCAACACTTTACTCATACTGCACACGCTGACCTTACATAAACAACAGGCACCAAGGAGGGCAGCTATGTTCTACTGACACTACTGGATGAAGGTCACCCATTACTACAGTCACACATACAAACTAAACACCTTTTATCTCACATCTGCTTCAGTCTCAATGTTTACAATTCCAGGATAGTAATTCACTGGCTATCTCCACCAGAGGGAGCTCACACACCACACTTGAAAATTAATGCTTTAAGTAATAAAAGCATCAGAGTGGTCTGTTTTGTAGCTGGTTTTGTTAAATAATGTTGGTTGTAGTCATCAAACAACACCTTCAGTTCCCATCAGAACAATTAGAAGTGAGCCGGGGTGTCATGGGGTCACTTTTTCCTCACTGCAGAAGAAGCTTTAACAGCAACTCTAGCTGTGTTTACATGAGCCAAATTTCCTCAATCCGATTGAAATCTTGGTTGATCGGAATTTCCGAAGCTCTGTTCACATGGACACGAACTGAAATGATCCGATCATGCTGTGCGTACATATGCACCAAGCATTTCATCCGATTAAAGAGGTTGAGCATGCGCAGAGTTGCCTTTCCCGAAAGAAAAATTGTAAACAAACGCCATGAAACGAAATGGAAAATGTAAAAACAGAAATAACTATTATTCCTGCTTTCCTGATCCATTTATTCAATTTAAGATTTTTATTTAGCTCATAGAAGTTACGTTTTCTTCAGTGAATAACTGCAGATATATGCTTTGCTGCATTTTATTGTTGATTAAAATAAGGAAGGGTTATGACTCCGCCTCTTGATCAGCTGGTCCGCGGGTCTGAAGTGACAGCTGCGGCACAGAGCGGGGTGGGGGTGGGGTTAGACTCATGTTTTATTACTGAGCTCTGTTGTGGCTTATTATTAATAACATGTGACAATCAGCTGAAACTGTTGAGAACAATCTGTTCAAACAAAATAACAGAAGATGTTCAGGAAGTTTAGAAGCCTGTGTTCATCATTAACGAACCGCATCTCAGGTCATCTGCGTTTACGAGCTTTTAACACGGACTTTACTGTCGTCCAGAGTATTTAACCGAGGACGTTTTCCTACCCAACATCAGCCTCCAGTCAGGTCTGTAAAACCCATATTATCCTGTGTTCTTTACAAGCGCGTCTCCACCACCTACTGCAGAAGCTGCTGCGTTCAAGGCTGACAGAAACGGGGATCCGTGCGCTGCAGCCCCCGCGATAAACCTGCGTATTTCCAGTACAGATTTGAACATGTTTGTCGAATGATTTGTGCAATAATCAGATTTTTATTTTACTTCCACAAAATGCAAGTTCTGAATTAAATATTACTGAAACGGGGACGGTTTGTCGTCGGATTTAAAAGCCGTCGCTCGTTAATTACGCCGTCATTTTTGAAGTCAGGCAGTCCAAATGACAGCGGAGAGGCCCGCTCGCTGTTGCACACATGCGCAGTGGGCATTATTTTACCCCAACAATCCAAATGGCTGTGTACATGCACGTCAATTGGAATGAAGAACGGAATAAACCACCTCTCTCAATCGGATTGAAATTTCAATCCGATCGGGCCGAATCGGATCAGAATATTCCGACTGACATGTTTACATTCAGAATTTTCTATCTGAATGGGCATTCAATCCAATTAAATATGCGCATGTAAACGTGGCTAATGACGGACAAACCTCGGACCACCGATGACAACATGAGGAAATCAGACAGAGATTAAAAAAATAAATAAATACATAAATAAATAAAAGAGTAAGTTGTCCCCCAACCAGTCTTACCCAACCCACACCTATTTAAAAAATGTGCCACACGGAGTTGTGCCTGGCGGACTAAGAGGCCCTGCGGGTCTGCAGCAGTGGGTGACAGACTGCGAAACCCCCCAAATACCTAAATGACTACACGTCTACAGCACTATTTCACTCAATTGTGCAGTTTATCAGCAAAAAAACCCTGTAGACTTAGGGTTGACTTGCTCTTTAAGTAAACAGGAACATGACTAAAACTGTGAAACACAATGACCATCTTTAGAACCTGAACGGCTAAAAGAAAACCCTCCAACCACTCTAGAGCAATGGAGTGTGCTCAGGGATCGGCTGAGAGACAGGGTGGTTCTGGTAGGTGAACCGAATCTGGGGAACCTATCCACCTTCATCCCTGGACTTACTCTAGCTGGTCGTAGTTGACACACATGAGTGGAACCTCTGTGCTGCAGCGCTGGTGAAACTTGTAGCCACAGGTCTGACAGCGGAAACCCTGGAACAGCAGCTTTCTGCAGAAATCACAGAAGGCCAGCGTGAAGAAGGTCTTCCTTACCTGTCAAACACACAAACACACATTTTGAATCAGAGCAAAGCATAACGCCACCTATGGTAATTTCTGCTGCATGAAGATCACTTCAAGGCTGTGACTGAAATTCCTACATTTACTTGTTAATCAAGAGCAGAAAGGATGCAGAACTCTCGAATCCGGCAGCAGAAGCTGGCTCACAGATCCAACTCTGAAGGGACGCCAGAAAACCCATACTTACAAAGTTATGCGTGGTAAGGGGCACGTTCTCGAGCACCTCCACGTGGAGCTCCTCTCCCGTCAGCCAGGAGATGTCTGTGTCCCAGTCAATCGGCTTCTTCTCTCTAAAGCAGAAACCAGATAGAGCTGCTCAGGAGAACGTGTAGAGCTGCTGTTGGTTAAACCACCACCATGGTTTCCTGCTGAAAACAGGAACTCCCTGGTTCTTCACACCAGCAGAAAGTCTCGGATCATTGCCATTCCTCCCTATGACTCATTAATGCTCTCGTGTCTGAAGGGACTGAGCCATGTTCACGTCTGATTCCTAAAGACACATGGGTGCTGCTGATGTTGGGCGGGAAGTGTTTATTTATGTAACAGAATGGAATGACTCTTATTTTTCCCTTCTTTGCTCAAGACTGGTCTGCATGAGATATGGTCTCAAGGTCTCATGCATTCCTTCTAACCTGCTTATTTTCAGCTCAACAGAAGAATGAAGAATGAACTCTTTTCTTTTAATTAATCAAAGAACTCTATTTTAATAAAGCTAATCCATCAAAGTGTTAGTCAATGAATAAGATGTGACCGATCTATGAAATCAAAATATTAATTACTTTATTATGATCCTACAGAATATAATAAGTAATATGACTTTAAATGTTCCAACAGGACTCATTTCACGTAGCGTTAAAAAGACATGACACATTACTTTCACTGATCCAATCAGAATCTTACAGATCTGACGGAGGCGTGGTTCTGATGGTGTTTGGTCATTTTTCATTCGACAATAAACCATAACATCCGAAGTATACAACTATGCCATGTCAGCTCTAACGCCAGTTCAAAGCGTTCCAGAGAAAGTGACGGAGTGGCCAATCCTGATCTAAACTCTTTAACTGAAAAAACAACGACAAGCTGAAAAATCCAGTCGCTCTTCCAACAGCGGCAGCAGTTCCTTTCAGAACAAAAGCTCAACCTTCCGGACCCAAGCTTGGGTCTGACCAGACGTCAATAACGTGTCGTATGCACGGAAGTAACTCAAGACGGGTTTGATCCGAACCGCGGCTTTTCCTACCGGCTCAGTTCCAGAGAGGGTCCACTGGACCTAGGGCTGCACCGATGGATTGGCATTTGATCCCAATCGGCCGATAGCGCCCCTATCGGTTTTGATCGGAGTTTTCAAAATAGATCATAGCAGACCGATCAGGTAGGGTTGTCACGGTAACCGGTGTAGCGGTAAACCCCGGTAAAAAAGTTGACAATAATAATAACTGCCTTGTTTTTAAAAAAAACTATATTATCTCGGTGGATTACCGTGGCTGCGGTGTAGGCACGGTGACCCTTACCAGCCACCGTATCATCTGCTGAAATTGCCGGCAGCACATGCGCGCTTTGTTGTTTACAACCAAAACTTTCTTGAAGCTAAAGCTGAAATAATGGTCAAAGGAGGAGACGGCAGCGCTCAGGAGGACATTTATTATCCCTCAAAGAAGACAAAGTCGGAAGTACGGGCATATTTTGGATATTTGAAGAACGCCGAGGGACAGCTGATAGAAGACGGCTATCCTGTTTGCAGCACGTGCAGAAAAAGTGTCTGTGAAAGGCAGCAACGCTTCAAATCTCATGACACATCTGCGTGACCATCACCCACAACTCTACAGTCAACGCAAGGCAAGCTAACGTTAGCGCTTTAGCTAAAATGCGTGATCCGGGGATTTGGGTTGAGGGAGAATGCAACGAGTCGCTATATAAAGCAGCCGCAGCGCCGCTACCTGCATATAAACCGTGTCGCGGACACCCCCATGTTGAAATGACGCTATACATTACGGGGCTCCCAGGGGCAGATTAGAGTTGGTCTCTCTCCGAGAATAATTATGAATTTAACAAGGATTACTGCCTGATGACATTTTCCCACATCTGCAAAGCTCACTGGAAGGACACAAACTGAGGACAATATTTTCCTGATATAGGGTTTATTACTCAAGTAAGGGTAAAAAAGTATCTGATTAGAAGGCTGCTTGAGTACTGAGTATCATCTGATCTAATATTTTTAAATGATGACATCAAACAGACATAAAATAAGAAGTTATGGGCAAATATTGGTATTTTAAAGACTAAAGGGAAAAAATGTAAACAAATAAACAACATAATTACAAAATAACACATTTTAGGAAACATTTAGACACAAACTGAGGACAATATTTCCTGACATACAGGGTTTATTTAATTGTGTGAAAATGTAGCACGTTTAAAAAAAATACCGCGATAATACCGAAAACCGTGGTAATTTTGGTCACAATAACCGTGAGGTTAAATTTTCACACCATGACAACCCTAATACAGACCATTTTAGATTAGGTTACATTTCCTTTATTCCCAGATTATGTAGTTTGTAGCACTCATTATAATGTTGTAGAAAATTTCTGGCCAATCCACGTGATCGGTATCGGTGATCAGCATTCTTTGATATCGGTATCGGTGATCGGCAGCAAAAAAACCTGATCGGTGCATCCCTAACTGGACCTAGATATTCCTGATCTACAGAGGACTTCCACCAAGGGTAGGTAGACCAGCATGATGGTGTCTCATGTGTTTCTGAACTTCCGAACCAAAGCTTAATGCAAAACAACACCTTCAGTTCCCGTCAGAACAATCGCTTCTTTAGATTTGTTGGTTCTGATTTAACATCACACGTCATCCATTCACCGTCTCATCCATTTTTAGTTACACTATACATTTAGTTTTAAAGTCAGCCTAGTTTAATTTGTTAGTAATAAAATTCTTAACTTTTAAACTTGACTCTCTCTATTCTGTTGTCTCTGAGTGAATACGTAACGGTCATCTAATCTCTGCAATAAAAAGATCCCATCTTCTGGTTTAAATAACCCTCGATCCGTCAGGTGGATTCTATATTTCCTATGGAATCTCACGCCTTATGGCTCATTAAATAACTGTAATCTATTTCATTACATTTACATGTAGATCAGGTGATTGATACCTGACTGCTCCAGTGATGCGGGTCTGAACTAGACTGTGTGATGCAACCAACATCCTGATAGAAGTAATTCCCATCATGGTAACATGTTTATAGTCACTACAGGGAAAGGCCCACATTTAAAGGAAATTATCGGGAATGAAGTGCTCTCATTAAGATTATTTTGTCCATCTTTGTCTATACATAAATCTGTTTATTTGTAATATTTCTATACATTCATATTGCACTGATGTGTTCATTTGTGTTCAACACCCGGACCTCCTCTGACTGGCCCAGTGGGTTAATACCGATGGTTAATACTGACCCATCCTGTATTCTGTAGACAGCACAGCACTCTGGGATCAGTCCTCTCATCATCAGAGCCTTCTTCAGGGAGTCCCTCACAGTCATCCCACAGCGGGCTGGGACCTGAACACACCACAACACCAGTTAGTGACCAGAAAGAACCAACAGCCGACAGGAAACAGCCCCAATGTGAGTCTGTAGATGGAAAAACTACCATCTGAGGTTCTGACAGCTCAGCAGGGCAGACACGTTGCCCTGTCGGTCTTTATTTGATAGAAAATAGTACCTGAAATCTATTACTGATTAATTTAGCTACTTTTGTTGTTGTTTAGTGTAAGCTAGATGTCTCCTGAAGTCCTAACTCTCCACGTTTTGTTCTGCTACAGAAAGTCATTTAAAGGTGTTGTCTGTTAGCATTTGTCTGGAATAAAGAAACAAATGAAATACAGAGCCAACAGTGAAGAGGGAAGAAACTATGAACTTAGGGTTTAAACTAAAAAATTAAGAAAGAAAATAGATATTTAAATGATCAACAATCGTCGTGTTGGATTAGACAAAAATCTAAATCACATTGAGAGTTAGGAGTTATAGTTTCCTCCTGAGACCAATAGTCTAGTCGAGCTCTCAGGCAGCCCATCAGACGTACCACAGTTCTCTGCTTATTGGGTAAGAAGACCCTGACGATGGGCTTCTGAGGGGAGCGGGGGTTGGCTCGACCAGCATCTGTGGGGGTCTGGAGGACGGCTAACGTGCTAGGGGCAGAGGGAAAGGCTTGAGCTCCTCCAGCTCCACAACCTCCCATCTTGACCTCCAGCAGGCCTGGTGTTGGAGAGGAGGTGCAGAAGTCTGTAGTGTTTCCCATGGCCTCCAGCAGCTGTTGCTCCCTCTGCTGCAAGGCATCCAGTTTACTGGTGTACTCCTCATAGGCCTGTCGTAAACAAACCACCACATTAAACCACCGAATGGCTTCCACACGGCCAGAGATACCCACCCAGCCCGTCCCTACCTCCAAATATATGGAGGGAGGATTGTGTTCTCCTCCAAACTTCTCCAGTAGAGCCTCTAAGTGTTCCTGTGTCAGCTTGATCATCTGTTTGATGTTCCAGATCTGCAAAGAAAAGCAACAGTTAGTGTGAAAATAGCTGAATTCAAAAGTCTGAAAAAGGACTGGTATCACATAATCTTGACCAAACTGACCCATTTTTCCCTAAACAGCAGGAAACTGCACCAAAGCTTTGATCTTTGGACTGACTTCCTGTTGCACCCTTGCAGAACAGCTTCCGACCTTTGTTTATTAATGTTTTGAAACTAAAGATGGATGACAAAAAGCCAATGAATGATGGTAGGGTAGTATTCTCAGGATCACCACCTTAATATGGTAGAGGGGTTGTGATAGGCTGTCTGGAATATCAGCCCACTCGGCGCTGGACGGGTTGCCAACAGAAGATTCAGTATCTGTTTCACTCATTTGTAAGAGAATATGAATCATTTCTAGTTTCTAATAAAAACAAAACAAAATAATCAATAAAAAGCTCATTATTAGAATTCTTGTGTCACGTTGTTCTGCTTTACAAGCACACCGATTTTACTTCTGGGTGAGGACACAACCACAGAGAAAGACTCGTGTCATACAATACAGCAGTTTGTCCGGGGTGTGGCCACCAGCTCGCTCTACCATCTGCAGATGCACATCAATACGTTTGTTCTGCTCAAAAGCGGCCTATGGATATTTCAAGTTTCACAGAATCAGAAAACGTCAGAAACTTGGTATAAAGACAAAACCTGCCAGGAATCAATTATTGTTTTTTCTGAAGGCTTTCACTTAAAATCCAGAACTAAAACAGGAAGAAAACTAAGATAATAAACCATCTTGTGCTCTGGACATCACATTAAGCTCTTACTTTTATGAGTCACCGTGTTTGTGTGTGTGTTCTGAAGATTTACATGGAGTGTGTGTTTTAAAGATCTATATCACATTTACATTAACTCATTCACTGGCATTGACGACAAAAGTCGTCATTTTAAATCCAACAGTTCACTGCCAATTTTTTTTACCGTGTGGGCGTCGAACGAGCCCCCGCACCGTGAGAACAAACATCCCAGCTCTAAAGCAGATCTTCATTCGCGTACGTCACAAGTCACGTGATCAGGAAGCAGAAAATCCATGTGTTAGGAGATCATTTTGGGCCGCTGCTGTAAAAAAAGTAAGGTGCGAACCGGAAAAGCTTCTGCCAATCACAATTCGACAACGGATTGTGAAAGAACAAATAACGCTTGAAACGTGTGGATTCTTCCTGATGCAAAAGGTGAGTCTCCTCTTTGTTTTGTTAGTTTTGGCGTTGACATCATCTTAGAGTGCAACGTTCTGTGACTCTTAAAAAAACAGTGAAAACGCTGAAAAACGCTGGCAGCGAAGGGCTTTTCTGATCAGGAAATGGATGGCAGTGCCAGTGAATGAGTTAAGCTGTTCTTTTAGCTGGAATATTAGGAAGTTACAGTGGAAAAATTTACAATTTACTGACTTTCCCTCCATGTGACAAACCACATAATTTATTGTAAATTACCAAATAATTTCATGTGATTAACCACATGATTTATTGTAAATATAACCACATAATTCCATGTAAATAATCATAAAATTTCATTGGAACAACCATGCAATTCCATAGAAATAACCACACAAATTTATAGAAATAATATAATTTCATGGGACTACCCATATGATTCCATTGGAATAATAATAATACAATCCCATGTAAATAACCACACAAATCCATGTGAATAACCATACAATTTCATAGAAATAACCACACAATTTCATTTGAATAGCCATTAAATGTCATGGGAACAACCACATAATTTCATTTAAATAGCCATATAATTTCATTGGAAAAACCATACAATTTTATGGGAATAACCATAAAATTCCATGGAAATAACCACACAATTTCATATGAATAACAATATAATTTCATGGGACTATAATTCCAATGGGAATAATCATACAATTCCATGGGAATAACCACACAATTCAATGTGAATAACAACACAATTTCATGTGAATAACTACACAATTCCATAGAAATAACCATACAGTTTTCATGGAATTACCATATAATGTTATGGGAATAACCATATATTCTCATGTAAAAAAAACATACAATTTCATAGGAATAAACATATAATTCCATGGAAACAATTCCATGTGAATAATAATATAATTTCATGTAAATAACCATACAATTCCATATAAATAACCATATAATGTCATGGTAATAACCATATAATTCCAAGTACTTCCATTTAAATAACCATAGACTTCCTTGTAGATGAATACATAATTAATTTTGAACAATATTTCATGTAAATTAATGTAGAATTTCATATGGGGATAAACTGCTTAATTTTATGCAAATAACTTCAGAAATCAATGCTAATTAAACTGAAATCCATGAAAATAAGAACACAGTTTTGTGAAAACATCTACAAATATAAAACTAGTTTATAAAAGTTGATGAAAATATTTCTGTGTTAATAACAAAAATTCCATGTATATAACCCAGTAGTGTGAAACTGATGATGGTGTAAAGGTCTATGAAATAACATCACACGAACCAGCAGGAGGCTGAAGAGATGGGAGCTGTTTTAAGACATTTCAGTACCAAACGTGAGTGAGGCTGTCAGATAAAAAGTACCATCATATGTTTTTCAACAGAAGCAGGACTCAAGCTCCGACTCTAAACAAAACTATTAACCACTGAACATCACAACATCACAGAGCTCTTCCGAGGAAAACCAGTTACCAGCTGAAACCTGTCAAGCCACAAGAGAAGTCACTATGAGAAAAATGATTAAATAAACCTTATGAAGTCCTATATCTTTTAATCCAACAGAAAATGATTGCCTACTCACTGCCTGACTCTTGAACAGACGTCCACTAAAACCTTTCAGACTGGTAACAAAGTGAAACCCATAAATCTTCATATCAGAGTCAAAAACTAAGAATGACCCAGTTTAAAAAAAGCTACTGGACCCATTCGAGGGTGGTTCTTGTTTTTGGACAATAATCTGTCCCTTCCAGTCACAATCTAATCCCAACTGCTGCTAGAACCATCAGCCACATGATAGTAATGTATTTCTATCATAATTCAGATTAACCACTTCTAGCAAAGAACCCAACAATGATGCACACAGGATCTGCTACTCCAGCTCAGTAAACTCAAGTAAAAAAGCCCACAGATAGCCGATGACCAGGATGTTGAGACCAGTTGACCAGACTGAGCTGAACTATTCTCAGTTGGGCGACTTGAACTGTATGCAAATACTTTGGTTACTCATGCTGGTTTCACTAACATGATAAAGTCATGCACATGAATATTAAAGTTAAAGTCCCATTAGTTGTCACACACACAGGTGTGTGAACTTTTGTTTTCCGCATCTGACCCATCCCCTGGGAGAGCAGTGAGCAGCAGACACAGCCGTGCTCAGGAACCATTTGGTGGTTTAACCCCCCCTCCAACCCCTAATGCTGAGTGTCAAGCAGGGAGGCATCGGGTCCCATTTTTTCAAGATCTTTGGTATGACCTGACTGAGTCACCCTCGCAATTCAAACGCCGACCGCTAGTTGACAGGCATGTGCAATGGGCTTTGTTTCTACCATTGAAATGTAAATTCCTCTATTATGGTTCAGACACTTCATGTTAAACATGTTAAGTATCAGTTTGGACTGTTCATTGAATTTTCCTATAATAAATTCAGTCTAAAAAAAATCAATATCATCTGACTGAATGTATCGCAATATATTGTCTCCTCTATCGTGATACGTATCGTATCACCATAAATTCACCAATACGCATCCCTAATATATATATAGTACAGTGATCCCTCGTTTATCGCGGTAGATGCGTTCCAGACCTGGCCGCGATAGGTGAAAATCCGCGAAGTAGAGACACCATATTTACAGTACAGTGTCAGAACCCAAGTTCCCAGGCCAGCCTCTTCCAGCTAGCCGGCCTCCACTATGGACCACAACTCCCAGCATGCTCCTCGCGGGGATTCCCTCCACGTCGCACCTACGTCACAAACCGCGGCTATAAACGGAAGTCGCCTTTCCAGCTCACCACTCAGTCATTGTTTCTTCAGATTCATGATCAGAGTTTCCAACCTACCGATCCATCCCACGAACTATCAGCTCATAGTAAGTTACCTTACTTACTTCTGGAAAGCCCAGCATTTCCGTGTCACTTCGTTGACGCTCGAACGCTCGGGGGTTTCCTTGATTAAATCGTGAGCCGGCGTTTCACCGACGCTCTCACTTCCGCGTCTGTGAAACCACGCTCCCTACAAGCTCAACTCCCGAATCCAGCCGACCAGTCTGACATACAGTACTATATTGAATTATCGTATGATCACATTCTCTTTTTGTGGGTAAAACTCAAGAAAAAATTTTTTTTACTTGTTTTTTTTATAGTTTTATTACAAAAAGTGCATTTTATGATGAAACTGATGAAAAACAAACAAGAATTTCTTGATATTTCGCATAGAAAAATACCACGAATCGGTGAAAAATACCGCGAATCGGCAAATTTCCCTTGAATAAGGCTCCAAAGAAAAAATCTGCAAAGTCCTGAATCCGCGATAAACGAACCGCGAAGTAGCGAGGGATCACTGTACATGTATTTAGTGCTTTCTAACTCAGGAACTCCAACTTATTGTAAACATCATTCACACACATTCTAATGCCAATGATGGCAATTGGGGCTGCAACTAACGACTATTTTAATAGTCAACTAGTCACCGACTATTGAAACAATTAGTCGGCGAATCGTTGCAGCCCTAATGGCAATGAGCTACACTGTAGCTGCAGCTGCCCTGGGGCACGCCAACAGAACTGGCGCCACCAGGCCCTCCGACTGCCACCAGCAGGCCAGGTGGAGTTAAAGTTAAAATCAGAATCCCAATAGTCATCATACACGGGTGAAATCAATCTTCACATTTTACCCATCTTCGTGGGGAGCAGTGAGCTGCAGCTGTGGCTGCGCTCAGGAACATTTTGTGGTTTAACCCTGAATACAACCCCTTAAAGCTGAGTGTCAAGCGGGAAGGCATTGGGTCACATTTTTTAAAGTCTTTGGTATGACCCAACGAGGATTTGAACCCTGATCTCCCAGTCCCAGAGTGGGAACTCTACCACTGGTCCACTGAGAAGGTAAGAAGAAGGCAAGGAGTAAAGTGTCTCGCCCAAGGACACAAATGAAACGACCTAAGCCTGAGTTAGAACCGGAAACCAATTAGAGTAAATCTCCTAACACGGGGGCATCATAAAAACTTTTGGTCAATTGTAAAGATCAGGGGTGGGGGATGTAATCTATTTCTCACTGCAGACAAATCATTCTGAATTTATTTAAAACATTTCAAAATCAATTTTATTTATGGGAATTAATCCTGCTATGTCAAGAACTGTAGAAGGTGGACCACAAAAGGCAAAACTATGAAGTGTGGCAGTGCAGTACGTACAGTATGTACAAAGTCATGACTGAAGAAATAGTGAAACTATAGGGAATTAGTGCACATTTTGAACACAACAGAGGTGGCTGAGAACAGTGTTGTGAGTTCTTACAGTCTGTGTTAGTCTCTCACTCGATGCAACTCCCTCTCTGCTGCTTTGGTTTGTTGAGTCGAGTCAAATACACAAATCATTCTGTCCAGGATTATGGCAACAGTTGGTCTCTGAGTAGCTCTGATGTTTCTGAAAACTCAGCGTTTTCTCTGGGAGAATCAGTTCCATTATTGGTAAAATTATAGGTAAAAGTGGGACATTGTGGCCTCTTATTTACCATTTCTGAATAAGGAATAGCTACTCGCTTAAATCAAAATATGATGTCCATAAAATTCTGATCAGACTTCACAAGTGGAGATCATTTATCTCCAGGGTGACTGCCTGTGCTAGAAGGACATTGAACCCAGAGTGGGACAGATGGATGTGCACATACAAAGCTACAGTCTTATGGAAAAAGCAGGCAAATGTCCTGGAACTGGACATTAAAATTGAATTTCCTGTAAAGCACAGAAAGTTGCACAATTTGTTCTAAGGTTGATGATCTAACAAATTTAAGTTCCCCATAATCTACATTTTCCCACACTTATAGTACTGAAGGAGGACAGCTGCAGCATCTCCTGTCAGTGGGAGTGATGGGGGGACAGGGGAGACGGGGGGACAAAGGAGGACAGATGGACAAAGAGGAGATCTTACAGTGAGCTGAGGAGAAGAGGTCTGCTGCAGGTAAATGACACAATTAGCTCTAAACACAAAAGATCCAGTCAGAAAAACGCACATACAATGTTTTAGACGTCAGAGAACAACTTCTCAGAAAGTTCTGTCAGACCAAAACCAACAAGAAACACAAGATAACTTGTCTGGACCCAAACGATCACCAAGTCAAACAATCAGAGAGAAGGTGAGCTAGCATTAGCCTCACCTTTAGCTTCCACATGAAAACACCTCAGCAGGTGAAAGCATGAGTTTATCAAAGTCGAATAAGACGTTCTGGTTTAAGAATTACAACAACATGTTTGTTTAGGAAAAACCTCACCACTAAATAACATCCTCACTCCCATGGAAACCAGTAAACTCCTGCTGGGGCAGCAGGAAAGCAACAAAACAACAGAACAGAAACTCCACTGTCATCATCAGTCAGTAAAATCAGGACACAGAATGGGAAATTTTAGTAAATAAATGTGAACTCTAGAGTGAAGAATATCTCACATTTTACGATGAAAAATGGTGATTATGAGTTTTAAGTGTGAAGTGGAGGGTCCACAGGTTTAGAGCTGAACATCATCATCAGTAAATGCTGGGGCTGCACAATACATCTTAAATATATCGTTATCGCGATATCAACATGCGCAATATGCATATAGCAAAGACAGATAAATATCACAATGAATGGTCAGCTCAAATATTTTTATAGGGATGGGTACTGAATTCGGTACTTTTTAAGGTACCGACCGAATTCCATAGTACCGACCGAGCACCGATTCACGTCATTTCAAACGGTGCCTCGTTTCGGTACCCGTCCTTCATAACGAGAACTTGCCAGTTGCCACGACAGCTGCGCATGCGCAAGAGCGTTATGTCGTCGCTCACTGCGAACCAGTTGTAAACAGAGCAGCATGGTAGAAAGAACGCAGGCTAAAGCTTGGGTCCACTTCACTAAATGTGATGGGTAACTGGGTGATGATGAAACCAGCGACAACGAGCTAAGTGAGACATCCTCATCTTAATCTGCTCCGGTAGGTAAATATAATTAGCTTGATATGTTAGCTTCCGTTTCGCTAATGGTGCGTTCGCTTTCTCCTCGGAACTCCGAATTCCCGACTAGAAGAACATGAACATGCTCTAAAGTTTGGCTTCACTTTACTAAATGCGACGGGTGATTGGGTCAAGATGAAACCAGTGACAACGATCTGTGAGGCATCATCATTTTAATCTGCTCCAGCAGCTAAATAAACTGTTTAAGATAACGTTAGCTTGGTATGTTAGCTTCCATTGCTACCATTGTTATCAGCTAATGGTGCGTTTGCTTTCTCTTCGGAAATTCTAACTTCCCAGTAGGAAAAATCTAATGAAAAAAGACAGCAAAAGGAATGAAGATACACAGTAAATTTAGTTCACAGTAAAGATGTTTGCTTCAGTTTAATTATCAGCTTATAAAACTACAAGGACGATGTTAAAATACAAACAGTTGAATGTTATTTATCGTGATATTTATCAAATATGGTTATATATTGAGAAAAGTATATTTAATTATAAAAGAGAATTAAAATAATAAACACTCAAAAGTATCGAAAATTGGTACCGTTAAGTACCGGTATCGATTCGTAGGTACCGGGAATTAGTACCGGATCGATTCAAATGTCAAAGGTACCCATCCCTAGCTACACATATGCATTCTGTCAAACGGCAGCAGGATGTTTTTTTTTAACAAATCAAATTGAGCTCTTCACCCATTTAGCCAATTGGGAAGGTTCTCATAGGTTAGATCCCTGGGCACTTAATTTTGATGGTTAGCTTTGTTATGCTAATTCTGCTGATTCTGCTTTTCCTGGGATCCACTGATTGCCTTTTCTTATTTCTTTTCTTTTCCTTTCCTCACATCTTTTGCTTTTCTCATTCTTATGATTTTTTTTTGTAATTTTTTATTTCTATGTTTTAGATTATTGTTGTTCCCGAGTTAAGTTTTTATTCATCGCAAGTATTATCGTCAATGCAATATTAATCACTGTTATCGCATATCGCAGGTTTACCTAATATCGTGCAGCCCTAGTAAATGCAGACCAAAAAAAAAACAAGAAACAGCCTTCTGATGTCAATGAGAACACACGTCTGACACAATTCCTGACAAATAAAAACAAGCAGAACTCTGAAGATTTAAATGAGTTCTGCTGGAACCTGCTTTTGGTGGATTTAGGAGCTGGAAACCCCTCTCCACCACAATGACTTTAGTATTACACCAACAGGCACATCCAGATGTTTTATTACTGATGTGAAACCTGAAAGTTCCAGCTGGTTAACATTCATCCCATATAAACTAATCAGTAACACCATCCAGAGTAGATAACTATAACCTGGTGATGAAATCAGATGAATTAGTCCTCTGGTTAGAACTAAATCTGTGTTTATGTTGTCGGGCTCTGTGTCAAGTTGAAACTGAACTGTCAAACATCCACCTTCAGTTCAGCCGGCCACTAGTTGCAGTTAATTAACTAGTGACCTGTCTGTCACCTGGTCGGAGCAGAATAAGGTCAGTTCCTCCTCCTGACACCAGTTTTAGGCTGGTGTTGTACTTGGGCTGAATTTCGGTAATGTGCTTTTTCTCAGTTCAGTAACCGGATCAGAACTACATCTGAAGGCAAGGTACCCTAACCCTCTGGACATCCATCCCACTCTTGGGCACATCTAAATATTCCAACAACCCATTGAGATGGTTTTACTGGGGGGGAGGTTCAGGGCTGGACTCTAAAGCGGGACCACCGGACATTCTGTGTGGGAGTAGTTTTCATTTCTGATCCTGAAGTGATCATTAGGCTCCTGCCCAGGTCCACTGAGACCTCTGAGGTTAGGCTCCATCTGGGATCTATTCAGAGACAACCAGAGTGTGTGGCTGATATTATGGTTATAGCTGCTAATGACAACACTGTTGTCATTAATACCAATAATAATCATATCAGCTCGTGAAGCTGAGTTGCACCAATCATGACTGGCGCCATCATCACCACCTGAGAGGATGAGACCCTAATTTAACTTGCACCGCACCACAGTCCCGCATAGTGCGCTGCACACCACTGTAATTGCGTGTCTTTGTTGTGTCAACAGCGGCGTGTGCGCGTGCAGCCCCTGGAAAGCGGAGTCCGGACCCAGAGGGAAGCAGGCCCGAAATGATCAGACTCCGGCTGGCAGATGGAGCTCTGCCGCACCTCTCTGCTCACGTAATTACGCCGAGGGCTGACGCGGCCTGTGCCGAACAAAAACTAGCTCGGTGCATGATGCCGCACCGAGCGCTGCAGTCCAACAATCCGCGTTAGGTTACAACCGGTGTTTCCTGTACGTTTCCAGCCAATTAGCTCCGCACGGAGCCAGCATTCCCCCAGCAAGCTAAGCCCCGCTTCCCCCGCCGCTGCAGCGAGTACCTCCTCATCCTGGGGACCTCCGGGAATCCCCGACGAGCACGAAGAGTCCAAGCCCGTGCCCAGCTCCTCCAGGCCGCGGTCCCTGCCCGGCTCCAGCTCTGTGGCGTCTCCATTAAAGACGGGCGGTGGGGACTCGGCGCTGCTCAACGCCGCCATTTTAAACTGCGAGAAGCGGAGTGAAAAATAAAAGAAAGACGCAGATTGGTGCTGCGGCCGGCAGGGGGCGACAGATACTCCGTACAGAACCGAGACGAGAATCCGACTGACTCTCGAATTCGTTATTATAGTTTTAAAAATCAGTCATTTAACATTTTCTTGTCTCTAGTGTCAGAAGCTGGGCGACTAACAGGTAGGCTAATGCACATTTACATTTATTAAATGAGATTCATAACCAGTTTTCTTTTGGTGACTGGGCCATAACACTGACTGGATGCTGACTTTGTTAGTGCATCTCATTACTAATAATAAATCAGGCTATTTGAGATTGCACCAGAACTTATTCTGTTTACTTTTATAGAGATGATTTCAGTGTGAAGCCAAGGATGAGGGTCTTCGGACTGCCTTCTGTGGATGATGTGATCCCCCTGTATGCCTCATCAGGACAGGACCCCCAAAAGGAACTGGGATCTTTTGCAGCTGAGTGAGAAGCAAATGGGATGATAAGATCAGCACCTCTTAGTCTGGTTCAGTGGTCCTCAACCAAAAGACAGATTCCCAACTCTGAGGCAGGAATGATCTTCTGTTCTTGGTGTCTTCTTCACCATGGAGGCAAAACAGAATGGGCTCCATGTGCAGTTGGTGTGAACTTAAGACTGATCTGTCATGGTGAGGAGTCAAAAGGAGAAATTTACCAACTGATCAACATTCAAACCTCACCTCTGGTGTCACCCTTAGGGAACGGATGAGAGGATCAAAGTCACTCCTAGTCCTTATTAAGGAGTTAGTTGAGTTGGACATGATGACAACAAGGTTTCAGACATGACACCAGGGAGACACTTCAAACTCGCCAGAGAGAATAGATCTCTCAGCCAGTCCAGGAACAGAACACCTTGAAGTCTTTCTGGATGAGCTGGAGGAGGAAGCTGCAGAGTATCCCTTTGATCCGCTTCTGGATTTGCAGCAGAAAACGGATCCAGCATAGCAGATCTAGAATTTTCTACTGCTCATGGATTGAAGGTTTATTTGTCAAGTCTAAACCCCTTCCTCCTCAATGGAGTTGTGGGGAGCTGGCGTCGGTCTCCAGCATTATTCAGGCAAGAGGCAGAGGACACCCTGGACAGGTCAGCAGGCCATCACAGGGACAATATCATTCACACACCTCACACCTTGAGACCACTTAGTCTCCAATCAGCCTGACATGCATGTGTTTGGTCTAAAAGCCACACATAGAAGGAAGGCTCCATCTGCAACCTTCTGTCTGCAAGGCAATAACAGCTCCACCATGTAACCAAGCTTTCCAACGCAGCACTCAGACTTTATTATGAAATGCTTGTCCAAGTACATCATTTTCAACCATCCCATCTGCAGTGGTGCCAACTCCAGCTGATACAGGTTCATTAACATCTGGACATGAATACAGCACAGTGTTTAGTAGAACATGATGATTCCGTAGAGCTAATGTAAATTGTTTATTCTAGCTGCTAGAAGGCATCTGAAACCTGAAGGCTTCGCCAGGCCTACAGAGACACCATGTGGACCAGCCCCTGCAACAGATGCACCAGTCCAGAGGAGCGTGGAGGAGAAAAAAAACTTCACTTCTTCTTGCCCGCTCTTTTCCCTTCTCCCTTTTTTGGTGTCCCCTTTCCTCTCAGTTTCTTCAGACGACGCATCTCCTCCTTGAAGTCCTCGTGTTCGTCTCTAGAAAAGAAGAAAAAATGTCATCAAGGCATCAAATTTTAAGAGTTTTCTGGAACACAATAAGAAAGTTCAGCTGAAAGAAATGGAACACCAGTTTCAAAGGATTTTATTAAATTCATCATCATCCCAGCCTAAGAGGAGGTTCTGTGATACCTGAACAGGCCCATGAAACGGAGCTTCTGGGTCATGGCGTAGTAAATCTTATGCTGAGGGTACCAGTCGAACACTTCCTTCCTCCTGGCCATGGGGAGCTGTTGGAACAGCTGGACCACCTTCATGGATTTGGAATCTGTCGGACGTACAACTTCTCCAAAGATCCTGGAGCTGAGCCGGGCCATGCGCATGGCATAGCTAGACAACCCAGCCATGCCTGGACAGGAGAGGTGGTGGACATTTTCATCAACACTAGAGATGGACTAGAACATCAGCTGGTGACCAACATTTACAAACTACTATCCTGATCACCAAAGCGGCTGATCTCAAATTCTAATTTTACTTTCCCGGTCAGTGAATGCAGCATCACCAACTATTGGTAACCACTGCTAAGAGTTACTAACAATCACCAACTGTGTTGTTAACCATCACTAAACATTTCCAACTGTCTTTCTCCTTCTCTTTTGGCTTTTCCCTTTAGGGGTCGCCACAGTCCACTAAGCTGTAGCTCAACGGCAGAAAGGGTGGTTGTTGTTAACCTGGACCTCAATCAATCCGGTATTTACACCGGCTGCCCTTCCTGACACAGCCCTTTGCAGTTATCCAGAATTGGGACCAGCACACAGAATCGCTGGCTTGTGACCCCTTATGGCTGCTATGTTGCACAAAATTGCCAAGAATCTCTAACCATTGGTAAACATTAGTAAGCATCACCAACTGTTGCTAAGAGTTGCTAACCATTGCTTAAAGACCAAGTTCACAGAGAAACCATTTTTTATTTGTTATTTTTTAAATGTTATCGGTCATTCTGAGTTCCACATGCAGCCTAACGTGAAATTAGTCTTCTACCCCATCTCCTGCATTAGCCCCTGATAGAAACCAGATGGTGAAACGATCAGATTAGAAAAGACAGGATCTACTTCACACTGAAAATTAGCATTCATGGACTCCTGCATCTTGGCTTGCAACGGGGAAGGCTGTTGATGGTTTAGCACTCAGGAGAGAACTCTGCTAGAAGATGCTAACTGTTAGCAATATGGCAACCTGGCAGAAGTCCTTCAGGCTTGTGTTATTTGATAAATAATAAAACATCAATGTTGCAGAGAAAATGGTGTCAGTGGTAGAGTCGTGTTGCTGTTAGTCAATCAGAGGTGAAATGTCGAAATATCAGGAAGTAAGACTCTGGCTAACCTCTTCCTGAAGCAGGAGCACCAGACCCCCCCGAAATCGACTGAAGATATTCACTTATACAAGAGACCACTGCAGATGTGTTTGGAAAAAAAACTGTTAACTTGGTCTTTTATTTAGCTAAGCATTGCTAGCTATTGCTAAGCGTTTCTAACTATCTCTAAGCAGTGCTAACCATCAACACCCATTACTAACTTTGCTTCATGCTGTTGACACTAATATTTTTACATGCAAAATCAGAATTTAAGTGAATCAGATTTTCATTATTTTATTCACCATGTTCTGGTCATTTTAGTTCTTGGGAGTTAAATGAAAATTGGGAGCAGTTCAGAATCAGAATCAGCCCTCAGAACCAGACTGGATCCATCTGTAGTCCAGAGTTGATTCAGTCCAGTTAGTTTGAAACAGACTGGTCTCGGGGCCAACTCAGAACCTGCAACCACCTCTCCATCTGACTTTGCTGGCTCACTGAAAAGATTCAGTACTGCCACCTGCACTTCTGACCCCTTAAAATAAAAACGAGCTGCCACACAACAGTTTTTGGCCCTGCACGATAATAAAAATCAAACCACGTTGTAATAAACATTTTTCTGTGTTGTTTAACGACTCTTCAGAGTTACAGTATTAGGCTGTTTTAAAATAATGGCGTTGGCTATAACATTTAAATCTTAGTGCAAACATGATGTAGTTTTAATGTACTGAAAGAAGACTTGAGCCAGTGTGCTGATATTAGGGCTGCAACAACGAATCGATGAATTCGATGAAAATCGATTACTAAAAGCGTTGGCAACGAATTGCGTCATCGATTCGTTGTGTCGCACAACTCTTCCAAAAGCGCCCCCCCCCCCCCCCCCCCCCTCCCGCCCACCGTTGCGCGCAGACCAGAGCAAGTCAGATCAGCGCGAGGGAGAGCCGCAGATCAGCGCGAGGGAGAGCCGGTACAGGCAGATCAGCGCGAGGGAGAGCCGGTACAGGCAGATCAGCGCGAGGGAGAGCCGGTACAGGCAGATCAGCGCGAGGGAGAGCCGGTACAGGCAGATCAGCGCGAGGGAGAGCCGGTACAGGCAGATCAGCGCGAGGGAGAGCCGCAGATCAGCGCGAGAGAGAGCCGGCAGATCAGAGCGAGGGAGAGCCTGCAGACTTGCGCTGCTGCGAACCGGTTCCGCATTGTTGCACAGCGATCCAGGCAGCTGCTTCCAGCGCACGGTCCATTCTCAAAGTGGCGCAACCAAAAAACTATAATTAGCACACGATCATTCTTGTCTGCACATGTTCTCTATTTTCTGTCTTATTTGTGCCTGAAGCGCTCTGCTGCGGAGCTCATCACCTGTGCTGTGGTGATTTCACCTCACGCAGCATCGAAAACGCGCTCTCCGCTTTGCGGTCAGGAGATCTCTTTGATCTGCTCAAAAGTAACTGTTGAGGTGAAAAGGTAAGAATCCAGGCAACAGATTTTCTGGAGAATTATGAGGAGATGCAGGAAGATGAGAGACAGACAGGACAGGAAAATAGTTAAATAAAAACAAGAAAACAAAGTCAAATGTAGGTAGATTTATCTCCACTACACGTTTTTACCAGTAAAAAACAATAAGTTATACACATGTCATATTTATACATCTGATACAATTCAGATCACCTTCAAAACTCAGTCACACACCCAGGGCCGTTTCAAGACATTTTGGGGGCTAAGGCAAAATGTCCCCCCCCCCCCCCCCCCATAACTGGGCTCCCCAGAAGCCTCTGTGTAATTGATGCCCTCTCCAGGAGTGTTAGTTATACAGTGTTTGTAAAAGCCCCTCAGACATTACTGACATGTTCTAATATTATCAGATGAAAAACTAAATTATCAGACATGCTGTCTCATCAGCTTCTTTTCTAAACTTGCAAAAAGTAACAAAACCATTTGAAAGCCACTATTTGTGGATTCTCTGAAAGTTTCCATGGAGTGTGTGACAACTTATCTTATCATTGATCCTATCGTCTAATCTCACAGCTGGAACAAGCATCCTTAATAATCTGTGCACAGGAAGCTTACCGATGCTGTAGTAAAACAAAAGGTATAATAATTTATTATTAATAAAACCTTGTTGCAGCACTAAAGCATAAAAATGAGATTTTGCATTAAATATGCAAAATATTTACATATGAATTGTTTTAGAGCCCTTTTATTGGCAGAATCTGATATTAATTTAGTTCTTACAAAAAATGGGTCCCAACATGGTTTGTGTGGTGTTGCCATAGTGTGACGTCATAGGCACAGATCACCTGTCCTCTTGTTTGGAAATGGAAATATGATCACCCTACATTAAACAAACTGTCCACCCGGGCTTTTGCGCTGCACAGAGACGCTTCGCTGCCTATGACTGAACGTCAGTTGAGAGTCAGTCTCATGCAGACTGACCAATGAAGAGAGGGCCTCAAGTTAAGACCCTCTCCTCATTGGTCAGTCCACACGAGGTGGGTCAAAGGTTACTCTGGGCGGGTTACGTGTTGTCAGGCATTCAAGTATTGAGTATATTTACTGCATATTACAGTAAAATATTCTGTATGTGACCACATTATGGCGATCCTTGGGTCGTGATGATGGAGCCCTTGAATATTGTTGCCCAGGGTACAACAAAGTGTTAATCTGGCCCTGGTTCCGCCGTCACATTCCCGCAGAAACTGGTTGATCACACCGGGGCCAGACTACTAGCATGTGGTTTTACAACCACAATGTCCTCAGAAGCAAAAACGCTTTTAAAAGGGAGGGAGGAGTCCTAACTGTTGCTGCAGGCGTGTTGTGTGAGAGTGCAGTTATATACTGGTTAATATATTTTTGGGTTCAGTTGCTTTCATGTGGCCTAATGTGAGTCTATTTGGGATCATTGGAATGATCAGCAGCATTTCTTGATGTGACTTTATGGCAGTTGCCCAGGGCATCATCACAAGGAGAATGGCATTCATTTACTTTTGCTTTATTTGGTATTTTTTCAGTCATTTTTGGAAATAGTGATCAATTTTGATTAATTCACAGCCTATGTTTAATTACATTTAAAATAAATGTCAACAGATGAGATCAAACAAAACAGATGAGAATTGCCCTTAAGCTGTTTAACTTGGACCAAGCATTTTAGGTCACAGATAGATGTAGCTTAGGGTCTCTGTCTATACACCTTATAAGACAATTTAGGTGATGGCATGTTGTTTTTCTGCTATTGAACTGTTTTCTAATAATGTTGTGTTAAATAAAGTGAAGGAAGGAGAGAAATAACGTTTCCCTAGCAGTTTTTAAAAATTTCCCCATGTAATCCGATTAATCGATTAATCGTGTCGAGACCCCATCCGATTAATCGATTATCCAAATAATCGTTTGTTGCAGCCCTAGCTGATATTGAGCTCATTCCGTCTGCAGCAGCTGTCCATGGTGCTGTTTGTATTAAAAAATCACTAATGTTTAAAAAAGCCTCAACCCCAAAACAGTATTTACAAGTTAAAGATGACTGTGAGTGAAATTAGTTCGGTTGTGGCAAGGTGGAGAGGCGAGGGCCCGGGCGGGATTCGATCCCCAGACTCCCGGGTGAGACTGACGCGCGCTTACCAGTCAGCCAAAGGGACATCCCCTTGGCTAAGTAGCCAGGGCGCATGATCAATCGGGACACTGTGACAGGATGCTCACACTGTCATACGGTGATTTGGACTTTTACAGCATTTTAATAGTTACACAAAGAGAACAGAATAATTCTAATCAGTTCCAAACAAAACCGTATTTAAACAAATTACCGTCCTGAAAGGAACGCCAGATGTTTTTAACATCCGTCAAACAGGTCTGTGGAAATTGTAAATAACAGTTTGAGAATAGTTTGAATAACAACGGTTTCATTTTAGAGCATTTCCCAAGACCTCTGAGTCTGGACTGGTGTTGATTGTTAATATAGTTGTAGCGTTTCATCATAAATGACTGATCAACATCATCAATGACTTCATCAACATTCTGATTTAAATCACTAATAATCCCTTTAATCTGCGGTCTGAATCTAGCCTAGTTGGTGTGAATCCTAGAGTTTACAAGATGTACTTGAATGCACCATATTAAACACGTTAGGGCCATAAAACGCCGTTTAGAATCGCGAGTGGTCAGAGGTTCTGCATATTTAGGATAGCCATTCGAAATCAGGTGTTACGTCGATATGTGTCCCCCCTCGAGATCTGTTTCTTTTGCACCCATCTGCGAGTTTGAATCATCCACTTGCAAAAAATGTGTCCTAACCCTTACCCTAACCATAACCTTGAAACAAACATAAAAATTGTGCTACATATAATATTTTCTAAATTTATATTTATGCAAAACAAAAATTTTTGGTGACTGGGTGGTTATGGTTAGGGTAAGGGTTAGGGTTATTTTTTGTGACTGGGTCGTTTCGACTCGCAGCTGGGTACAAAAGAAACAGATCTCGAAGGGGAACACATATCGACGTAACACCGGTACGAGAAGCTCGAGTCGGCCGCTCTGGTAGCTCACATGTCCCGTTTCCAGGACTCTGACGGTGCCTACCTGGTCCCGCAGGTCGGTGAGGAGAAAGATGAAGCACTTCTGAGGCCACTGGTTGAACCTCCAGAACAGGGAAATCTCTCAGATGCTTCCAGTTTAGAGAAATTCACTTCTGCTCCCCATGTGTCTGTAAAATTCTGTTAACCTTCACAATTTTTACTAAATACTCTAGTGCGCATGCGCCGGTCGCAACTCTGCTTCTTTGGTTGAATGACATCCCGGTGATGTGCACTTCCACCCCCTGCCGGACATCTAAAGCTTTACTTTTGGTCTGCACCGATGGGCAGCAAGACCACGTTTCTCAATCAGCAAGAGAACAGAAGAAATCAATCACAGAAGGAACTTTTACCAGTCGTATGATAAACAAATTAATGGATCAGTAGGTCGTTTAATAACTTAGTCTGTTGGGACAATGGGAGAATATTCTAGCCACACAGGACATTGAAAAAAAGGTAATCAAGCACAGGAGATCATCTAGAAGCCACCAGCTTTAACACATCTTTTACTTCCTTCTCCAGGTGCCATCCTGGTTGTCTAGGTGGTGTCCTGAAAACAACGTGGGCTACATTGATAATTGGAAAACTTTGTGGGGAAAACCTGGTCTGATGCGGAGAGACGGCATCCATCCCTCTTTGGATGGAGCAGCTCTTCTTTCTAGGAATATGGCCAGTTTTATTAGTCCTCCATGACAACCCAGGGTCCAGACCAGGAAGCAGAGTTGTAGTTTAACCCACCCCTCTGCAGCTTCTGTACTGTTACCCACCCACTACCCCATAGAGACAGTGTCCTGCCCACGGCCAAAGTCACACAGATTAAATATCAGGCTTAATAAAGCAAATCATGGAAATCTCACAAATATTAGAACAAATTCAACTGAGCAGAAAATTAGAAAAATTAAATGTGGGTTATTGAACATTAGATCTATTTTTTCTAAGACTTTGTTAGTTAATGACTTGATTTGTGATAATCAGATTTCTTTGCTCTCTCACACAGAATCCTGGCTGCAACAAGAGGACTATGTTAGCTTAAACGAGTCGACTCCTTCAAATTATTTAAATCATCATATTGCTCGAAGTACAGGGCGAGGAGGAGGAGTAGCAACCATTTTTCATTCAGACTTATTAATCAATCCCTTACCAATTAATAGTTACAGTTCATTCGAACATCTTATTCTTAGTTTTCCTAATCCAGATAGCAAAACTGTAAAACCACTCTTGTTTGTAGTTTTATATCGTCCACCAGGCCCTTACTCTGAGTTTTTGGATCAGATCTCTGATTTTTTTATCTGATTTGGTGCTAAATACTGATAAGGTCATTGTAGTGGGGGATTTTAATATTCATGTGGACATCGAAAATGATTGCCTCAATGTAGCCTTTAGTAATATCTTAGACTCAATTGGTTTTACTCAAAGAATACATAGCTCCACCCACTCCTGCCATCATACATTGGACCTTGTGCTGACTCATGGCATAGAGTGTGAGGGAATAACGATCTTTCCACATAATCCAGTCCTCTCGGACCACTTTCTGATAACCTTTGAGTTTTTTATAACTGAGTTCTCGAGACATGAAAGTAAATTTCACTATAGTCGGTCTCTATCTGACAATGCTGTTGCATCTTTTAAATCACCAGTTCCATCTTTACTGTCCTCAGCATCTCAGAGGCATGTAGCAGAGGGCAATATTTTCAGTTCTAGCCCCTCACAAATTGATGCTTTAGTTCATCATGTTAATTCCTCTTTACGTGTGGCATTAGATGATGTTGCCCCGTTAAAAAAGAAGGTAATTAGGGACAGGAAGTCGGCTCCCTGGTTTAATTCTCATTTACGAGCTTTAAAACAAAACTCTAGAAAATTGGAGAGAACATGGCGCTCTACGCACCATGAGGAGGCCTACCTGTCCTGGAAAAATAGTCTTGTGCTTTATAAAAATAAGCTTCGACAAACTAGAACTGCTTATTTTTCAGCATTAATTGAGGAGAATAAAAATAATCCTAAATTTCTTTTCAGTACAGTTGCCAAACTTACACAGAATCGTAGCTCTGAGCCATCTATTCCCTTAGCCCTCAGCAGTAATGACTTTATGGGATTTTTCACAAGTAAAATTAATTCTATTAGAAACAAAATCTTTAGCATCCTCCCTAATGCGATTTCTTCTTCCTCAGTAAGTGAGGCAGCTTCAGAGGTGACTCTAGAACCTCATCTGTGCTTGAACCGTTTTGATCCAGTTGAGCTTTCAGAGTTATCAAAAATATTAGCTTCATCTAAACCTTCAACTTGCATTTTGGATCCAATCCCAACCAAATTATTTAAAGATACATTTCCTTTGGTTACTGCCCCCATTCTAGATATAATCAATCTATCCTTAGTAAATGGGTATGTACCACAAGATTTTAAGGTTGCTGTAATCAAACCTTCACTTAAGAAGCCTTCTCTGGATCCAGATGACCCAATGAATTATAGACCAATATCTAACCTTCCATTTTTATCCAAAGTCCTGGAGAAAATAGTGGCCATCCAAGTATGTCAGCATTTAAACACTAATGCTCTGTTTGAGGAATTTCAGTCTGGTTTTAGAGAGTATCACAGTACTGAAACTGCATTAGTGAGAGTTACAAATGATATTCTCATGGCCTCAGATAAGAATCTTGTGTCTGTTCTAGTCCTGTTAGATCTCAGTGCTGCCTTTGACATAGTTGATCACCATGTTCTTTTAGAAAGACTTGAACATGTTGTACGGATCAAAGGAACAGTGTTAGGCTGGTTTAAATCCTACCTGTCTGACAGATTTCATTTTGTAAATGTACATGACAAATCTTCTTCATACTCCAGGGTTACTTGTGGAGTACCACAGGGTTCCGTGCTTGGACCAATTCTTTTTACTATATATATGCTCCCAATTGGTAAAATCATTAGACATCATGGGATAAACTTTCACTGTTATGCTGACGACACTGAGCTAAATTTATCCATTAACCCTGATGAACCTAATCGGTTGGGTAGATTACAGGCTTGTCTTGAGGACATAAAAAATTGGATGACTCTAAACTTTTTGCTTTAAAAAAAAGACAAGACGGAAGTTCTCATCTTTGGACCAGAAATCCAGAAAAGGAAATTGCTTAGCCAATCGCCTGACCTGAATGGCATTACATTAATCTCCGAGAACAAAGTAAGGAACCTTGGTGTTATTTTTGACCAGGACATGTCATTCAAATCCCAGGTTAAACAGGTTTGTAGGATTTCTCTTTTACACCTTCGGAATATTGCTAAGATTAGAAGCATCCTTTCCAGGAGTGATGCTGAAAAACTAGTTCATGCATTTATTACATCAAGACTGGATTACTGTAATTCATTACTCTCAGGAAGTCCACAGAATGTAGTTAAAAGTCTTCAGCTTGTCCAAAATGCTGCAGCTAGAGTTCTGATGAGAATTAAAAAGAGAGATCTTATCTCTCCTGTCTTATCTTCCCTACATTGGCTACCTGTTAAATTCAGAATAGATTTTAAGATCCTTCTTCTCACATGTAAAGCTCTTAATAATCAAGCTCCATCATACATTAGTGATCTGATTGTTCCATACGTTCCTAACGAGCACTTCGCTCTCAGACTGCAGGTCTACTGGTGGTTCCCAGAATATCTAAAATTAGGATGGGAGGCAGATCTTTCAGTTATCAGGCTCCTCTCCTGTGGAACCAGCTCCCAGCCTTTGTCCGTGAGGCAGACACTTTGTCTACTTTTAAGAATAGGCTCAAAACATTTTTATTTGATAGGGCCTATGGTTAAAATCTGATGTTAGCCTAAATCTGGACAAGTGGGGGAGTACAGGGAGGTGGAGTGTACAGTCGGTAAAGACGGCTCTCCCTTGCCCTCCCTCCAACATGCCTACATCTAAATAGGATAGATTATCCAGAGTTTTCTCTGTAGTTATGCTGCTATAGGCTTAGACTGCTGGAGGATACACTGACCACTTTTCACACACTACTACTTTCTTCTACAATCTGCTCTTTAACTGTATTACTTTCTGCAATTTCAGCTGTTAACTTTATTTTTTCTCTAAGTGTTTTTCTCCCCAGAAGAAGCTACAATGATGTTCTGCTGAGCTGTGGTGGCCTCATGGAGGGGGCCATCGTCTGGCACACTGCTGCTAACCTCTTAAACATTCTCCTTCTCCTGATAATAACTTTTTGATTCCTTGACATTGGATGTGCTACTGCTAATTTACCCATTTAACAATAGATTCACTAGGATAAATACAATAAAGTTTATCTCTCGCCAAATAGAATATTTACTAAGACATCACGGTGTAACCATGGACACATTGCTTTGTGTGTGTGTGTGTGTGTGTGTGTGTGTGTGTGTGTGTGTGTGTGTGTGTGTGTGTGTGTGTGTGTGTGTGTGTGTGTGTGTGTGTGTGTGTGTGTGTGTGTGTGTGTGTGTGTGTGTGTGTGTGTGTGTGTGTGTGTGTGTGTGTGTGTGTGTCTGCTCTGTCTTCTCGATCACCAGTGAGTCGTGGTGGATGGCTGCTTATACTGAGCCAGGATTCTCTGGAGGTTTCTTCCTGTTAAAAGGGAGTTTTCCTCTCCACTGACGCTATATGCTTGCTTAATATGAGTATTGCTGTATAGTCACTGACTAGTGTCAGTGACTTGATGCAATTTGCTGGGTTCCTTATATAGGAAACATTTTTTTCTGATTGGCTTAATGAAATGATCTGAATTGGAATGTTTATTATGTGAAGTGCCTTGAGACGACTCTTGTCGTGATTTGGCGCTATATAAATAAAATTGAATTGAATTGAATTGAACTGAATCCAAAAGTAGTGAATGGAGATTCTGCCAGTCCCATCCTCAGGCAAAAACAGCTGATAAAAACATGTCATAGTGACACCTGATACATCTGAGGAAGACTGTAATTCATAAAGCTGACCCTGCTTGGATCAAAGGTCCCCAGCCCAGATCTTGTTCAGGAGCAGCTGCAGCAGGTGTGAGTCAATTTGAAGCACAGTGAGGAGAAATCCTTTTGATGGTGGCCTGGTGTCGAGAACAGCAGCAAAAAGGGAAAGATGAGTGCTCCCATCAGTCCTGTGTCTTTCCAACAGTAAAGCCCTTTGAGACCATTCATATGTTGGGGATCTTCTCAGTCAAGAGAGTGGACTCACAGTTTATCCTCAGAGCAGCCATGGATAAAAATGGTACCTAAATATCCTCCCAGAAGATCTCCTCAAATATCCAGAACAGTTTGGTGGATATTTTCCACCATGACGGAGCACCAGACCATGAGGCTAAACTCGTGGCTTGACTAAAGCAAAATGGCCTCAATCCTAGTTTACTGACAACAGAGTGACCTGAAGATGTCCACAAAGAGAAGGATCAATCCCGGAGATGATCTCTCATGATCACTTTCATGTGTTTCTATCAATAACACTTTTGACACTTTTGAGATGATGTAATCCTAGTAACCATGGAAACATCTGAGGGGAAGATGTAAAACACTGAAGCAGTGTTGTGATGGATTTTGGAGCAATTTAAGGATACATTAATCACATGATGTTTTAACATCTTACCACCACAAGAGGGAGCCAGAGACACAGAAGCTGCAGCAAACTCAGAAACAGGAAGTTCACCCATGGTCAAAAGTCAAAAACACACAACAAGCATCCCAAACCAGACCGCACAAGCTGGTTAAGGAGACATGACAGCAGTTCTCAAGTCTGTTTTATATTTAAAAGTTGTAGATGTTTTCTATTCCACTTCGCTTCCCAACCATCCTCCGCTCGGAGGACAGCTTCTGATTAGGAGCTCTGATTGCTGCTCCTGACATCATCAGCTAGAGTCAGGTGTAAAACTAACCAGCATCCATTCACCCAGGGGTCAGGTCCCGCGGGAGGGTCACTAGTGCAATACACAAAAATATTATTCAGAATTCAAAGGTATCCATCCATCCATTCATTCTTTTGCATTTCCTGCAGTAAAAACCCTGAAGATTTTCTTCATCTCTTGTCTTTAATGGTCAAACTGGTTTGATTCGGACCTTCCAGTTTTTTGGGAGAACCTGACCATGATGATAAATAAGTTTATAAAATCCTCTAGATTTGTGTTTCTAAGCACCTTTTTGAGCCAATCTCACGAGATGACATACAGCAGTGTTTTGTGTAAGAAGGCAATTACACAAGTCGATGTGTGGTTTTTACTGCAGACCGTAGAAACATCCGTGGACAAGCATGGACTTTCTCTCTGGATTATTTTGAGCAACAAGGAACAGGAAAACCAACCTTGGAACTGGTGTAAGCAGAAGAGGAATTCCGGGGTGGTCTAATGGTTTTAGGACCAGCTTTGAAATAGGTTTTGTACTATAGAGCCCACATCCTCCTGCATCTGATCAATAGTTTAACCTGTGATCAGCTGATCTGAAACTCAAAACTCGTTCTTTCTTTTGTTTGGTCCGTGAGCTCACCGTTGTTAACAGCTAACTCAGTTTGGCTATAGGCCCTAACAGATGTTGAGATTTTTCCTTAAAGAATGTTCAGGTTAATCAGAAATGTTTTTAATTTTTTCTGTTATTCATCTGTTATTTCTAGCTCCTTGGGGGGAAATTTTGTTTCAGCCCCTTAGAGTCTGAATTGGTACATCTCTAGTTTGGGAACTGCTTTTATCCATTTACTCTGGGTGGCGGCGGTAGCTCAGGGGTTAGGGGTTTGCCCGGCAACTGATGGGTTGCTGGTTTGAACCCTGCATTTTGTGTCAGCTGTGTCCTTGAGGAAGACACTTTACCCTCCTGGCCTGCTGGTGGTGGTTGGAGGAACCTGTGGTGTACGGCAGTCTCACCTCTGTCAGTGTGAAGGGCAGCTGCAGCTACATTGTAGCTCATCACCACCAGTGTGAATGTAGCGTAAAACACTTTGGAATTCATGACTTAGAAAGGCTCATGAAATCTCGTTTTGGTGACAACAAGACCTTGATGCACTTACTGGGTCCACTATTTGCTCTGGAACTATCACAGAAGATCAAAAGGGACCTGGTTCTGGTCCAAATGGATCAGAACACCTGGAGAGTCACAGTTTTGCAGTAAAGGTCTGTTTTCAGGACTCAGTCAGGAACCTTTTCTGGGATCTGATAAATCCTGAGCTGTAGGGGAAACTGTGGTTCTGCTGCAGGGTGCTTGTCCACTCTTCTGGTACTGACTGAACCAGACGGGCTCATCAGGTTCTGGTGTTGATAGATTTCAGCTGAATAATCAGCTGATTCCGCAGCCCGACTGTTCTCCCCACCCCCTCGCTCCCCTCCTCCCTCTCATACCATTCCTCTTTCTCTCCCTTTCTCTCTCCCTCCCGTCCCTCCTCCATCTCTCTCTCTGTGTTCGGATCCGGGCGGGATGATGATGTGCAGCTGCATGTTGGTGTGGTCCTGCTGAAACAAATAGAGCTTGTGGACCCACTGAGATGAGACAGTGTCCTCCGTGTCTTCGCAAAGCCGCCGCAGCACCGACTCACAGGAGGACGTGGGCTCTTCATCATCCAAACATTTGACAGTTGGAATTTTAAATCCCGTTATTTTCCTGCCGCTGTAGTTTCCCTGAAGATCACGCAGGGTCATGGTTCCGGTTCGGTCCGGGGACGATGAGAGCTGAACCAAGGATCCGAACAGGAACTGTTCATCCGTCTCGGTGCTGATGCGGCTGTGACAGCAGCATGGCCGCCGGGAAGTTGCTGCTGTACGCCGGCCTGTCCCTGTCCCTCTGCGCTCTGGGGATGCTGGCAGTAGCCATGTGTTCCGACCACTGGTACGAGACCGACGCTAGGCGGTACCGGGAGCGCTGCCGGAGCTTCTCTAGCCGCAGGAAGGACCCGGGATTCATCTACATCCCCAGCCTGCCACTACGGGCCAGCAGAAGCGGGCCCGGATCCGGCCGGGAGGACGAGCTGCTGCTGGCCCGGAACCGAAGGCAGCTGTTCGCCATGAGTGCAGCAGACGAATGCGGCAGGCAGTACAACTCCACCAACATGGGCCTCTGGAGGAAGTGCCACCGAATGGGCTTCGACCAGACCACCGAGGACCTGATCAGAAAAGGTAAGAGCGGAGGGACCAAACTCAAACTTCTGGCGGATGTTATTCCAGATGTTGGTTCAGTTGCGACATCATCAGTCAAAGCTCCGATTGGCTGATTGAGCAAAGGGCGAACAAGGGCATCGATCCGTGCTGGTCCGGGTGTGTCTGGACGGAGGCGGGCAGAGACACCTGACTGGCTCTGGACTGGCATCAGAATGTGGATTTGGGTCCAGGGGGTGATGTGTGTGTGTGTGTGTGTGTTGTGTGTGTGTGTGTGTGTGTGTGTGTGTGTGTGTGTGTGTGTGTGTGTGTGTGTGTGTGTACTTGAAATAGCAACAGCCATGTTTATGCTGACCCACATTGGACTTCAGATTTTATCGTATTTGAACACAAGATTTAGACTTCAATCAGGTCGATTTTGTTGGATCACTAGGTCATAATTTCTTCATTGGTTGGTTTTAAGTCACCACCAGTTCACCAATATTAAATAACAATTATTTATTCATTAGAGCACTATCAGTTCAAACCCTGTCCATAATTTCTTCAACAGTTTATGGTTCATGCATAATTAGTTCGTTTACAGTTCATGTGTGTATTTTATCATTAGTTCACAATTGATGTGTTTATTTGTCCTGAATTATTCACCATGAAGTCATTTTAGTTTGCGACTAGTCTATGTTGGTACAATATTGACTAATAGTTGTTCACTATTATTTAATGAATAATTCCTTATTGGTGCACAGTTTGTTCATGATTATTCAGTTCACTATTATTTCATCCATTATGCCCTTTTGAGTTAGATTATAGTTAGATTATTATTATTATTAATTCACCTTGTGTTCACTGTAAAGTCATGGTTTTTCACCATTAGTTCATGAAGAATTAACTATTAGTTGTTGATAGTGCACTATTAATTTATGGTTAGTTCACTGTTGGTTCATCTTAGCTCACACTTCATAACTACTGTACTATTAGGTCCTCTCACCGTTCCTTTATTTCTTCTGTCCAGCTGTAAAGCAATCAGAATAGATGTCTGAGTGCCGAAGACATTTTTATTCTCCCAGGTGGAGCATTACAGATTCAGCTATAATGCCCCGCCAGATATAAAAACTTTACTAGAAATGCTTTCGGTTGTTTTCAATCCCACAGGAAACTGAGATGGAAATGAATGAGAAAGGTGGGAGAGAACAGGAAGAGGTGGGGGTGGGGGGGGGGGGGGGGGTTTCACAAAAATAAACAATAAAGGATGTACAAGAATCTGCTTCTATACCTACAGAGAGAGAGAAAATAAAGGAGACACACAAAAATACAACAGAACCAGAATATCACTGCGCCAGCAACATGACAACATGACAACACATGTAACAGTTACACTTTAGCTGAAAAGCACACAGTAATAATTCATAGAGCATTTAGTGCCAACCCCAGTCTTAGGTTTTGTGTCAGAAATGGCAGAGTTCACACTTGTGAGAGCACCATGTGAGCACCTGTGTCTGTTCACATGTTTGTGTAGTTCAGTAGTGAGTGTGAGATCTGCGCCCAAAGACCTGCAGAAGATGGAGAAGATCCAAGCCCCAGAGATCCTCTAACAATTCCTTTATAACTAGTTCACCACTGGTTTATTACTGGGTTATGATTGGGTCAGCAGCATTCATCATTAGCTCATCATAAGTACACTATTAGTCAGATTATTTCACTATTACTAACTCCTGAATGCTAAATGTTCCTTGATCTTGAATCAGATGTTGACACTTTCTTCTGATCTCTGTTTAAAAAATGTAAATAAACAAGTTCTAGTTGCTACAAGAAAATTCAGGCTGCATCAGATCATGACCAAATCAACTAATCATCACTTCAACATCAGCCTTGTCATCATTAAACATTGAGATATATTAACAGTTGTCTTGTGACATTTTCCTGGGTCTGTTGGATTTTGTACCCATTATCACTCAACACTTTTCCTTTATTTTTTGAGGCATCGATTTGAAAATCGTAATCCCTTCTGAGAAAGTCACATCCATCTTTTGTTTAGAGCCAGGCTCTGGTGAAACCTTACAATTATATTTACTTCCTGTATTTTAATGGCTGTTCAATCATGTAAATATGATTTTCTGTCCTTGGTTCTGACCAGGTGCTGAAGTCTAATTTGTTGTTCTGTGAACGTTGATCTTTGTTTTAAAATTATTCAACCATGACTCAGGTTTCCTGTGGGTGAGAGGCGGTTTAGACCAAAGTGGCACTGAAGTCCTGTAATCCCTTCAAGAGCAGAGAAAACCTGCAGCTTGTGGTAGAACAAGAGTGGAGGTGTGTGTGTGTGTGTGTGTGTGTGTGTGTGTGTGTGTGTGTGTGTGTGTGAGAGAGAGAGAGAGAGAGAGAGAGAGAGAGAGAGAGAGAGAGAGAGAGAGAGAGAGAGAGAGAGAGAGAGAGAGAGAGAGAGAGAGAGAGAGAGAGCAGCTGTGCCTTCTTTCAGGATGCTTGAATGGCCTTGATAGCCTCCCAACTGCAGGACTGGGCAGTCAGCGATCAGATGAATGATCTGCTCTCAGCTTTGTCATCATAAAAAGGATGAGGGTGTGATCTGTTGATGGATCAATGGGGAACTGAGCTGTGGCCAGAGCATCCTTATCAGACAAAGTAGAGCAACCAAACTTGATGTCCTGCATTTGTTCAGCCCAGTCCAGGAGAAGTTTATGGGTTTGTATCTAATGAACAAAGGAGGCAGCAGAGGCTTTCATCCTGGAGGCTGTGACATGAGGCGTCAGTCAAACGGAGCCCTTGTGGAGTGAAGCACACATTAAGCTGGTGCCATTTAACTTTCTTCAGCTCTGCCCATCAAGAAAGTGGGGGGTGGTAATAGCATTATGATGAAATAGGTTTGCTTTTTACTCTGTTAGTTGTTTTCTTGTGTTTTTCAATAAAGTGTAAATGCTGTGTTTGGTTCAGAATTTTAAATTGAAATATGTGAAGTTAATGATGATAGTTTGGTTAAGTATCTGGCTCTGTGAGAAGATCTGTGGGTTTAAATCTGTGGTTGAGTTGTCTAAAGTACGAGATAATTAATTATTGACTGAACGATTGAATGAATGCATGATTATAAACATTACTGTAACAGAACATATTCATGATTTTAAAGTTATACCTTCCTTTTGTAGTTGTTTGACTTTGATTTAATCCAAATCTCACTTTTAAAAGCAAAATTTAAATGACAGAAAACAGTGACTTCCATGATCTTTTCAGCATCATGATCACGTGTGTTCTAAATAACATGTACTGTTTAGACAGATTAACTATTGGCATAAAGTAGAGCAGCTTTATTAGGTGAATTATTAAATTACAACAGATAATGTTTGTTATTTAGTACAGTACATTTAAGCATTTTTCAGTATTTGGGATCTAAATTCAGCGTTGTTTTAAGTTGATGTTAATATTTTTACGCTCTGAGTGCTTAACACGTCTCATGTTGTCCATCACAGAAATCCAAGTCTTGTCTCAGTCTGTTGGTTTGGGTCGGGTCAACTTGCACAAAACATTTATTTAAGTTGAAAGCAGATATATGGGGTGTTCTGACCAACTTTACAGAGTTAATCTGTGATTAAAACACACAACCATCAGGGAGATGAGAGCCAATCAGTTTGTGTTTATCCTGCTAATCTGACTTTTCCACTTTGAAATTTTATCCCAAATTAATCAAAGTAAAAGTAAAACTGACTGTCACGATGTAAGCCAGGAGGAGGTTAGGACCCAAGATGCAGAACCAGGATGACACAAGGCAGGAGTAGTAGAAAACGTAAAATCCTTTATTTAGGAATAATTGTCTAAAAGTAAAATCCAAAAGGGCAGGTTGCCAAAAACCTAAATCCAAAAACCCTAATGCGCAAACCTAGAGACCAAGAGACGAAGAGCTCCTTTAAAGAGCAAAAGCTAGAGACATCAAGAGACATCAAGAGACCAGGAGACCGAGAGACCAGGAGAGGGAAACGAGACAACGCTGACACAAACAATGGACCCATAGAGACGCAGACAGGGTTATATACACAGAGGGAAACAATCAGGGAAACAAGTGACAGGTGTGTGGGGAGTGATATCAGAAGGGATCAGGTGAGACTTATTAACTAAGTAGGGAAAACTGACTAGGTAATATTAATCTACAGAGGACTAAAGATAAGTGAACTCATAAACCTGAAAACTAGACACCAGAAGAAAAACACTAACAAGGATGGGATAACTAAATCTGAAATCACTAAGGGGGGACCTGAGGGAAACCTGGAGGGAGCAGGAGACCTAAAGGGGCACAGAAACCTAAGGGGAACACCTGGAGTGGGCTGGAGAACACAAGGAGACACATGAGGGGGACGCAGTACACAGAACATGACACTGACTCAGAAAAGTTACACCAAACTTGGTAGTTATCATGTATCCCCCTCCAGCTCCAGTCCAGTAAAAAGCTGGCCTCGATGATGTAAACTAGAGAGAGTAGGTTAACAATAGAAATTAAGAACTGAATGTCAAAATATCCATTCAGTACCGATCAATGGAATCTGCTTTGATCTGACTCTAAAGATCAGATTGATTTAAAGTTAAAGAACAGACAGAAATACAGACTGATACGTTTCCTTCATCCACCAAATGGACACAGGCCAAAGCCATGTTTTGTAACTCATTAATGTTTTTAAATAACTGTGGTTTAAGGCAACATCCAAACAATGATTCATTTCGAACCAACCAATCTGAACATGTTGTCAACACGACTAAACATAAACATGAGGGAGGAATCCTCAATGTTCCCAGAACGAACGTCACATTTAGCCTCGCCTTTGAGTGCTCATCATCCGTCTGTCTTTTCGTTTGTTGGTGCTGGACTGGATCAGCACCACTCATTTTTCTGCATGTTTCATAATCATTTACTGCATCATTATGTAGATTTATGGAAGCATCTGAGATGAGAAAAGCAATGGTGGATTTAACAGCAGAGAATGATCAATTACTGTCAGCAAACCCCAACATAAAGCACACACGTCAAA